TGCCAGATTGTGTTGTCCAGTACAAGTCCAGCAACTTCGCCCCACAGCAGCTTCCGTGGAGGAGTTAAGAAGGTTCCGTTTCCTTGATAATGATGCCATCATACAAGGGCTTACCGCTGAACTTCCAAGATACTTGGCAGTTGCAGATGGAGCAGACTTACAAACAGAAGAAGAGAAGCTACAATGGTGGTCGAGAAATGAAGCAAACCTGCCCAACTGGTCCTCTGATTTTAGCGAGTTTTGTGGTCAGTTGGAGAACACCAGGATAGTAAGGGATGCTGCTTCTTTTAGTCTCGGTGAACTTGTTCATGAGTATAACACTGCACTAAAGTCGTTGTTAGACAGACACGCGCCTCTGAAGACTAAGACCATTACTCTTCACCCAACCGCCCTATGGTACACTGAGGAAATACGATCTGAAAAGAAAAAACGCAGAGCTCTCGAGCGGCGCTGGCGTTTTTCAAAACGAGAATCAGATTATTCTAGATTTAAGGAACAATGCCTTAGAATGAACGCTTTGATCAAGAAAACGAAAGTTGACTATTACTCAGGCATTATACGGGAGAGTAGTAATAATCCCTGAACTCTTTTCAATACGGTAAATAAGCTCCTACATAAGCGCGTGGCCGCGGAGTATCCTTCAGGGTGTGCGTCTGATGGTGATCTTGCTAACAAATTCATTGACTTCTTTGGTGAGAAGATTACAGTTCTGCAAAACTCACTTGACTCCACATCTGATATTGTTGTGGAGTCCGATGCCATTGTCCATCAGTGTGCCTTGTCATGTTTTAAGTCTGTAACATTGTCTGATGTCTCGGAATTGCTTAGTAAGATGACCATCAAGTCCTGTCCTCTTGATCCCGTCCCTGCTTCTGTTTTGAAGCAGTGCACATCCGTTCTTTTGCCTGTTATGACTCAAATTGTAAATCAGTCTTTATGTCTAGCTGTTTTTCCAGACTGCTTTAAGCTTGCATTGTTGAATCCTCTTCTTAAAAAGCCCACATTTGATGTTGAAGTTTTTTGGAATTTTCGTCCTATTTCAAATTTGATGTTCATGTCTAAACTTACTGAGAAGGTGGTGGCATCTCAGTTGATTCATCACATTTCTAGTAATGGACTTGATGAAATACTACAATCTGCATATAAACAATTTCATAGTACCGAAACAGCTTTAGTCAAAGTTTTTAATGATATTATCCTAGACGTTGATAGGAATAGGAGTGTTATCTTACTTTTATTAGATCTATCGGCCGCTTTCGATACGGTTGATCACACTATACTGATTGAGAGATTAGCAAACCGCTTCGGTCTTTGCGATCTAGCTCTGGCCTGGTTTAAATCATACCTGAGCGACAGAACTCATTTTGTGAGCATTCGTGGTGCGCGGTCTGTCACGCGTTCGCTGTCGTGCGGAGTACCACAGGGCTCTGTGCTTGGACCGATTTTATATCTGCTCTATACCCCCCCATTGGGGGATATTGTCAGACAGTACAACATGGGCTATCATTTCTATGCTGATGATACTCAGTTGTATCTGTCTTTCAGTTCTCTCAGTAGGCATGATCAAGCTTATTCTGTCTCTCAGGTTGAATCTTGTGTTCGACATATCGACCGTTGGATGTCTTGTAACAAACTTAAGTTGAGTAGGGACAAGACGGAACTGCTCGTTATCAGTTCAAAATATCGGCCACGCCCATCTTTAGATAGTATCCTGGTTGGTGATCATCGTGTAGAGCGGTCTGACAAAGCTAGGAACATATGAGTTGTTTTTGATGAGACCTTGTCACTGGATAAGCATGTGAGTTCCGTTTGTAAATCTGCTTTATTTCATCTTCGGAATATCGCGACGATTAGAATGTATCTGACTTCTGAGACCCTCGTCCATGCTTATGTTACTTGTCGACTGGACAATTGTAACTCGTTGCTCCTCGGGTCACCGGAGTATATTATCCAGAAGCTCCAGCGCGTTCAAAACTGCGCTGCACGCCCTGTAGCTGGGCAACCTAGGGCTGCGCACATTTGCCCCGTCCTTAAGGAGCTACACTGGTTACCTGTGGAGCAGCGAATTACCTTTAAAGTATTACTGTTAACTTTTAAAGCTCTCAATAATCTGGCGCCTCCGTATTTAAGTCAACTTATAGTCCTATATAACCCTACAAGAAATCTTAGGTCAGCTAGCAAACATTTATTAGAAGTACCGAATGTGCGCCTGAAGAGCTATGGGGACAGGGCCCTTTCGGTCGCTGCCCCAAAGCACTGGAATGATATTCCCTTAGACATTAATTTAAGTGGATCAGTTGATGTTTTTAAATCTAGATTGAAAACTTATCTTTTTAGACTCGCTTTCAATTGACTTTTTGTTTTAGTGCTATTGTTAGTTAGTTATTTTCTTTTTTTGATTGTAAAGCGATATAGAGCTTTTGTATATACTGCTATATAAATAAAGTTATTATTATTATCATAACAGAAAGCCCTCTGAGTGATGAGCTCTGTAACAATGTTGCGTAAGTCAGACACCACAGAGAGTTCATAGAGGTGTCCAGAACGGCAGATGACACAACACTCGAGATCAAAGTTGTCAACTAATGCTGTAGTGAAATCAATTACATGACAGTAGCGATCTATAGCCTTGTGATTGGTTGCATTAGGACCCAACTTTTTCCTGACTTCTTTCAGTAGTCGATTGAAAAACTCAAGGAGTAAATCAAGGGGAATGTTATGTCTCAAACCTGACTTAAGCAATGCAGTTCTGTTCCAAACAAGTTCATGAGCATGTTTTGGTGGAAGCAGTGCATAAACTTGACAAATCATCCCCAGGGCTTCAAGGGCATGCTTTGTACTTCCCAGGTCATTCCTAAGGTAAGGCAGTTGAAACTTCCAGCATCTGAAAGTACGTTTACCATCACCCTCTTTGATGGCATCAAAGAAATTCAAAATTAGCATGCCATACTCGAGGAAAGAACACCGATGATTGAACATGTCATCCTTCTCAGGCACTTTCTCTGAAGGGGCTGAGTCACATGGGAAGAGTAACCCTTGTGAATCTTGAGGTGGGATTTGTTGGTTATGAGTAGCTTCATGATCACGCATTCGTTTTCCCCTTGATGCAAAGGTTTTGCCACAACCGGGAAAAATACAAATGTATCTGCCATTGTCTGTTTGTTGCCTGACCTCTTCTTCCTCAGCGGCTTCCGCTGCTACTAGGCTATTGAAATTGTTTTCAACATTTTCCCTTCGAATGACATAGCCATCTACAATGTGTGTGGCAATTTTACGCACATATTCCTTTTTCTCCATGTTACTCGCTTCAGGGAGGTTTGGTTGGGAAAATTCACCCTTAGGGCTATCCAAGATATTATTCATCCCAAGCTCATGTAATGCAGCAGCTATAAGCCTTGCTTTAACTTCGAGGTCGAAAAATTTTCTACAGGGGTTAACTGCCGCATCAACATCACTGCTGACATTCCTTCTGTTTATTAAATTTCTGTCGCTCTAGAGAGTGCATTTGTCTCCTGCTGATTTCGTGTTGTAGAAATTATGGAACGCAACCTAAAAACAGATACATACAAACATTGAACTATTTTTTTTACATGATTAGAAGACTATGCAAGTGAATGAATGTGCATTATATTTATTATTATCATTATCATTATTACCATTAACATCACCATAATCATTATTATTATTATTACTATTATTGTTGTTGTCATTATCATCATTATTTGAATTACATTTACTTGTTTATGCAAGTGAATGAATGTGCAATATATTTGATATCATTGTTATTATTATCATTAGTTTTATTATTTCAATAAAGATATTTACAATATATTTAGTTTCACCCATCAACTGATACATTTCCTTTCACAGTGAGAGAGATGTCATACCTTATTGACTGACCTTTTTTACCTCAAATAAAACAATTATTATTTAACTGTGTGAAATCAGACCATACTGCTTTTAGAGTGTAATTATGCAACTAATTTCCTGATATTTATCTCACAAGCTATCTTGCATTGGTGTTGTTCACTGAATATACTCTAATGAGTATGAACCCATTGGCAAAGCTACATATAATGTATATGACTCATAAAATATGGCTTGAAAGAAACACTAAATATTTTCATACCTTCAAAAACTTATTTCCTGCATGCCAGTCAGCAATTTCCAAGTGCAAACCCTCTAGACGTTCCTCTGGAGTAAAGCCATTTGAGAGCTCAAAGAGTGCATTCACGCCACGCTCCACTGACAGTTCATCAGCCACTAAACCTTGGGAGGAATAAACTCTGTCATCTCCATCACCATAGTAGGATACATACTGATACAGTGCTGTCAGTACTTGCTGAATACCATCTGAGTCATTTTCGTTGTGATACAACATTCCAAGAAAAGACTGCAAAGAGAAAACACATAATCCTGGTTATTTTCTCAATGGGTTAAGTGGTTTTTGGTGGTAACAGGGAAGAGTTGGGGGCAAACAAAACTGGTGGGGGGTGGGCAAATTATACAATATCTCACTACTGCAAATTTTCAAACTCCAAACTTTACTGTTACTGGAACATGAGAACAACAAGACTTCAAAACAAGGAAATGAAAATCATTTTTCCCATCTCTCCTTTTTCTGACTGTTCTTTGACTTTGTGACTTTGATGGGCTTGAATTAATTTTTTCTGTTCAAAAGTAGGGCTGTAAGTCATTTTCAATAAATTGTACTATGTAATACCATTTCTGATTTCTCAGCCATTTCCTTGCTGTACTGGCGTGGTATGTGCTAACAGACCACACGCTTGAGACATGCCAAACAGGGTATTTCCACAGTTGCTCTCTCAGTGAGAGTTATGTAGTTTTCCCTTTGCAGGTGGTGCTCATGGCGAGTTGGTAAACACACACCATTCTCCATCTGCATAACAGCATCTCCACGATTTTCCACTGACAAGTGTGTAACCCAGTGGACATCTATATTTTGATGCTGTTCAGTCATACTGTGAACTTGCTGCTTGTAGTTGAAGTTATCGAACACCAACTTTCTTCCTTTGTCAGCAGTAATTACAGTTGACTGTTGAGACTGGCCTTCAGTCACTAGAGGAGGGGAACTGACGCCAGATGGTGCCTCAGTCAGTGCTTGGTGATGTTTCTGAAGTCGTGCAGTCTCATCTTTTACCTTCTTCTCAACAGATGCAGCGTATTCTTTCCCAAATTCATCCAGCTTTCGCTAATAATATGAGTGTCCTGTGGTTACTCTGAGGGAACCCAGTCGGCAAAGAGAAGCCTGAAACAAATAATTAGTATATGATAAGACATTTTACCATAAAAGGGCATTTGTAACGTTAATATTCAATGCATTAACATTTGCTACCTTCATTTTCTCATGAACTTTGGAATTATAATTGTCTGTACAACAGAGTAGGACATGTCAAAAAACAGATAAATGTTATTCTCATGATGTACATGTATATATTTTTAGGGAAAATGGCATATATTCACAAATTATTTACACAGAGAACATCTCATTCATATTACACTTACTTTCATAAAAATCCTTACTTTCATAAAAATTCATAAAATTGTTTTCTTTAATTTATTGAAAGGCAACAACCACATTTGAAGTTGACAGTCATAAATTCGAAGTTATTGATGTACCTACAAACTTCAAAGAAAGAGTTGTAATTTTGCTAGAAATAAGAGGTAACAAAGTCTGAGAGTGAGATCAACAAAAGACAGTAGTAATTAACAATTATCTTAAATTGGTTTTAAATCCAGCATAATAATTTCAACAATAAATTTTGGAGCTAATGACACACGCACAAATAGCCTGTGCGAAGACCAAGGATGCAACATTTAACATTATGCAGACGTCAGAAGGTAGAGAATTTAAGTGACTTTCCCCGTCCGATCCATTAATGATCAAGTGAAAAATATTCAATTGAATACTAGGAAGAGAGCTTTACAGTTTGGGTATCAGCTCATAACAAATTCTTCATAGCTTAGCACTACCAAAAACACTATCGTTGTCATCAATACGTTATAATAGGTTTGGACAAATAGAATGCCAGGAAAACATCCGATAGAAACTGATTAAAAAAATACTCACAGTTAATTCATACACGGAAATCTGTTCTTCAGCAAGACAGCCGCGGACATACACACAGATGGCAGCCAGAATTCATCTCCTTTGCTTTTTCTCACACTTGCAGTCCACAGTACCGCACTAAACAATGGTGTTTTCGATTCAAGTTCGCTGTTGAATTTCTTGAACAAAAAGCGCTGGAGATCTTTCTTGCTGGGCGATCTCAAACAGCTTGGATTCTTTAATGAACACATCGCAGTACACTCATGATTGACCTCCTCCAGGTACAACTGCTGCATATATTTCCTTAAAATTGGATTCTTCCATACGGCTCCAGCAATTTGTTTGTATGTTCCGCGACAAAGCATCTTGCCGAGTGACTCTAATCCTTCGTAAAGAGTATTCACTTTTGTTCGGCTGGGCCATTCGACAGTGACTTGCACACAAGTCTTCTTTTCCTCGGCTTCACAAGCAGGAATCGGTGAAAAAGGTCCATCCACCGCAGCAAAGGCGACAGGACGATTTTTCTCCTTACAAGGTGTTGACGTGAGAGTACTTGGCCATTGATCTACCGATGTTCTATTTGGCAACGTGCTGTTATCTTCTTCGATATCCACAGACACTCTACAATCCTCTAAGGCAACACGCTTTGTAGCTTGTTCTTGGGAGTCACTGATCTGGTTTGAGGAAGGCTTAGGGACTGGTAATGAAACAGCGGAACACTTCTTCGACTGGACAATTTTCTGAATTGAGCTATTCACTTCGTGAAGATTGTTCAAGAGCGCCCTTTGTTTCTCCAGCGCGCAGGACAATTCCTACAAATGTACGTGGAATTGATTTCAACTTTACACTCCAAAGACAGCAGTTCCTCTCGAACTTTAAAAGAATTGCCCCTTCGACCATCAACAAGATTTTTATCCGTGTTTTTTACGATGCCTACACCACAAAGAACGCACAAACTCATTGTCAAAATCTCACCTCATATTATTGTCACGAACGAAAGTGAAAGATTCTGTACAGAAGGCTCCGATTGCAAAGCGCGCGAAAATGAAAGCCAATCAAATCTCGCTATTTCAGTGATGTAATGATGTATGGGAAATAACCAATCAAATCATTTTCCACACATTCCTGAAAAAGTCACGTGGTCTTTGAACACGATTATCAACGGTAAACCACAGACGCTCCTTTCCAATTTTTTTGAGGGGAGGGGCGGCTGTACACAGGCTAGGTAGTTCATGATGATATACTTTAATTAAAGATCAGAACGAAAGCAATAATTTAAAAGCTTTTTTTCCCAGTGAAGTAAACATTGTTTTTCAAACAAACAATTCGAACCATCGGACTTCGAATTGATTTTCTTTTTGTCAAAGGACTAATTTTTTATTCGACTGATGGCTTACAAACCTGAAAATTGCCTTGTAGTACCAGAGTCCAAATCATCGATGGACAAATGTGCTGCGACTCCAGCACTACATGCAACTCTATCTTCCTGAGAGATTGAATCCGACTGAATCAGCCTCTAGACATTATCAGACAAACTTTTTTCGCTACTCTGGCTTTCGAGTGTTCTTTTCCGTTTTCTTCTCCACCAAAGAGTCGATCGAGAAGGCTCCGCATCAGCATTAAATCTCCACTTTTTGTAGCAGGGAAACCCACTATCTTCCGCCAATTTTTCATTAAGGAGCTGGATGACCAAGCCAGGAACTGTAATGTCCTTTTCTAAGCTTTTTATGATAGATCTTATAGTTATTATCGAATCGACCGCCTTGATAATTCGTTGTATTTGGATGTAGTTTCTTTTTTTAACGTGCGCTTATAAGAAGTTCAAAGAAGCTGACGCATTGCTGAAATGCTTACCGGTAATCTAAAAAGATATCACATGTGTATTGCATATTGGTTTCTCGACTTGGATCACCTTTACTTTGCAAGCTTGTGTAAGCATTATACACAGTGTTTCGCGGCAAGAAGTTAAGATTATTACAAAAAAATGTATCTGCACCAGACGTGATGTGACCTTAGGTTTTTAGGGTCTTGTTCGTCTTAATGAGTGGCGTTGCGCTGGATAAATAGACGGATAATTGAAGCTATTGTTAGCCGACAAATCGTAATTTGCATTGTAATCTTGATCTGTAGTAGTAATCATGACACCTATCAAAGTGATAGAAGATGTAAGTAAATTTACCGTGGTCCAAATTGCCAGAAATACAGCCAGCTGAGATTGAGGTGGGATTCTGTACATGTAGCTGGACGGAGTTAATTTGGGTCAAAATAGCTTTTATTTTGACATGAAACTAATTGATAGAAGCGAAAATTACAACCCTGCAGTTTCTTCACATCAGAACTGAGTTATGGAGAAAATTTATCACATTTTATATAGTAGACTCAAAGAGATACATCAGTTAATTTTTGCTAAGTTTGACCTCCAATGAACTTCAAAATTGCACAAAGCCACTGCAACAGGAAATTAAATATGCACTTTAATATATTTGGTAAAAAGTGATATTTATTTTGCCTGATCTATCTAGATTAATTACGTCATCTTCGAAGCCTACCGTTGTCAAATTTGTTGCTGTTGGTTGGACAAAAAAGGGGAAGTGCTGGCAAATGAACTTGTTGAGGCAGTTGTCCTTGAGACACCTTGTAGTAAAGAGAAAATGATCTCCACAAGCTGCAACAGAGGTTTCTATGCAGTACCACAATGAGATCTGGGAAGGACACATCCTGTCAGTTCATGGTGAGCAGTTTTGTCAGCGTCTATAATCTGAAATTTCTTAATGATGAATGCATGTTAATGTAAGCAGGATTCAACTGTCCAAGGGGAAGATTCATCATCTTAACATCAACCGGCCATAAATGCAATAATGCCCACCAACATTATGATTATGCAAGCAATAAATGCCTAAATACATTAAGTAATCTGTAATCAAGCAAAGTTCTACAACATACTACCAGAGAAGTGAATGTGGGCTGCTGTAACCTAGCTAATTTTGAATTAATTAATGGAGGGAACCTTCTTTTGACTCCCCTCCCCCCTCTTAAGTACTCTCTTTGATGAAAACTGTGAACTGTTCTTTATTTCTTTTGCCATTTCACATGTTTTACGAAAGGAAATCTTAGTGATGCAAAAGCCTCTCGAGATGCATTCACACCTAACCTGCAGCAAAGCGCTGAAAACAATGGTAGTGGTGGAAAGGGAAGAGGCAAAAGGAAGACGAGAGTCAACAAAAACTTGTTTTCTAATGAGTTTTTAACTACAGATTCTGAAACAATGACAGGTAAAATTTCCCTTTAAGGAGTGTATTTGAATAATATTGTCTTTTATTAGTATACAATTTGTAGTTTCTGGGAAAAAATTCATCACCTTCACTTTCCCAACTTGACATATACTGACCATATGTGAATGCCCTCAAAGTCCTTACCACCCAACCCTCACTTCCATCGCCACCACTCCATTTCTGTTTCTTGCTTTTTTTCCTAAACATTGTTTGACCATTAACTTTTGTATGTTTTTGTAAGTCCTGAGCAAGATGATGGACCGGCACCACAAAAGAAGCCAAAGAAAACAAGTTAAAAAGGTTCATTCTCACTACAATTGATTTATTTATTAACACACTATACCTTAGATGTGCTTAAGATGAGTGCATCAGTGGAAATTTACACTGAAGGGATTTGTTTTTTGAGTATCCAGTCATCAAATTGTAGGCAAAGAGAATTAAACTGAATTTGCTTTTAAGCTTCCATAGTTGAGTTCAAATTTCACACTAGCCCTGGGTTATCTTTACCCAGCTTCGAAGAACCCGGCCCTATTGATTTATAGTCCCAGACTTATTACCCAAAATACATGTACCATGTATTCACTCATAAAACATTCTTATAATTTCAGCCAAGAGTTCGTCCCCTTCTAAAAAGAAAACTGAACAACAGAAGGCAAAACGCCTCAATAAACAAAAACAGCTGTCACTTCTGACGCAGAAGCTTGATAGCATAAAAGATGCCATCTTAGACAATCCCACTCCAGACTTGGGGCACATTTCAGTATCTGAATCTGAAATGAGTCTGAAATGAGTCTGAGTGACAGTGAACCTGAAGATGTGGCTCCTGCCCCTCCAGAGAAGCAAACCAAACGATTACAGCATCCCCACTTTGGTGGGAAACAGCCCAAGAAGCACATACTTCCCCGCTGCATAAACGTTGCTTCCAAAGAGGAAAAAGGTGAAAAAATTCAAAAGCTCACTGAAGAAGTACAGCACCTCAAAGACGAAGTTCGTAAGTATGAAATATTTTACACTTTCACACAATTGAGGACCAATAGTGATAGACACAATGCAACATCAATTTGTAATGCTTCTAGGGTTACTCTTCAATATAAACATTTGCGGACATAATTTTATTTTGACAATAGTATAAGACACTCCTGCATTAGTTTATTTCCAGCCATGTAGCATATGCCAGTTCATGTATGTGTAAGCAAGTTGCACAAGCAGTCTCTTGTCAGGGAAGACTGAGAGACAAACAAGTTGCATTCTCAAAATGTGGCGTGTTTTTTTGCTCTAAAAGACAATAAATATTAGTTATTAAGTCTCACTGCAAAAAATAAGCCTAGCTCCCTCAACCCTATCGACCCAAGGGGTTCTTTGATTGTTGGTTTTGTTTATCTTACTATTTATTAAGCCACATCTGACCAAGAATAAACGTACAGTGTATTGTACTTTCCTACGAAAAATAAAAGAACAAGCTGGAAGTGTTCTCCCACCATGTAACGGTCAAGGGAAAATGTCAAGGGAGGAAGCTACTGCACTTGGCGTAAGGAATTAAGAGATAATGCTTACGTGCTTTAATGTTTGTGTGAAGTGAATTGCTTAAACTCCTTTTTATTCCTTACTTCAGTATCCAGAAGGCTACAGTTTATGCTGTTTGCTGAAAGCAAATGTTCCAAATTAATCTGTCTCACAAACTGCTTATCATTCCGGCTCAATTAATAATAAAATATTGTTTAAAGGTTAAAAAGATCTCCTAAACCTGTTTAATGCAAAAAAAATTAATCTTCTTGTACGGGATTTAATACCCTTTGAAGACAACTGTTATCAGTTGTTTGAAGCTATGTTTCATAAAACTTTTAAACCACTTTAACTTTAAAAAAAGGTATTTTGCTTAAAGTACATATTTTTTCCTTTAATAGCTTACAGACCTTGTCAGCAGCTCTGGGGTATGGATATGCCCCAACAAACTTGGCGCAGCCATAAAGCATAAAGCATGCTGAGAACAAGTCACTCCTTTGTAGATTTTATAACAAAGAAGAGCTTCTCTCAAAGAACTTCAGCGATTTGGATAAGGAAATCACCGAAGCTGCTATTGGTAGGTAGTGACAGGATATATTTGGTTATATACAGACTAGCTTCATTGATATTGTGATTTTTGCATTGTTTTTGACCATTCAAACTTTGCCAATTTCTTTAACCCTGGCAACACATTTTCGTTTCAAGGTTAATAATCCACTGTTAAGTGAAATTGTCAGTGTGCTTGATTCAATAGTGCCGGTGATGCTTGTGAACAGTGTGGAAGGTTAAAATTAAATGAATTGATAGAACTCTGTTTTCAGAATTAAGTCTTCACTTTTGAGAGATCATTTTGGAAAACCCGCTATGTTGTTGACCATTTAAGTGGGCATAAGGCCAAGTCACAAAAAATAATGTTTGCATCTTCCAACTAAAATTATGCATATTAAGTGTGCCCCCCTGACAAACCTTGACAAAATATAAATAAATCTTAAATATAATTGCATTTTACTTTATTCATTGTACTAAAATGAAGGCTGTGTCATGGCAAAAAAGTTGTTTCAGAAAAATGACTCTATCAGTTCTCCCTTTTTCCAGATTTTGCGATGGTTGCAAGGCTTGGTGAAGTAAAAAATGTGAGGAAAGCTGACCTGAGACAGGCACTCCGGTGTAAACTGAACTCAATGAAATTTCAGTATAGCAAGCCAGAGTACTTCCAAGGTAAGAATTTAGACTTGTACTTGGGCAAAAACAATTGCTGCTTTTATGATCATTAAATAAAGCCATTAAATATCATCATTACACTGGTTTATACTTATATATAAGTTATGATTATTATACATAAACATTACAAATAATTGGTCAAAACAAGCTTAATGCTCAAAGTGACTCTAACTGCTGCCATGTTCAATTATTAATTTTGTGTATATAACCTATACAGCCAATGCCAATAATACATAAATATACTTATATATATATTGACTCGGTTGAAGATTGGTTCAGCCTACAACATACAACATATACACTTGTTATGATCAAACTTTTATATAAATTGCATCTATTAATGATATTAATGCTTCAATTTCTGTTTTTTTCTTTTCAGAGTACCGAAAGACTTACTCTGGACCGAAAAAAGAAAAGAAAGACAATAAAGACACTGCAAATGAAAAAGCTGCTAAAAAATGAATAATGTTGATTGTTTTAAAGAAGAATAATATTGTATTATAGATCTAATAATTCGTATAGTGGTGAATGTTAATGTTTTAAGGCATCAAGTTAATGTGGTTATAAGCATTGATGGCTTAATTTCAACTACTTTTTTAAAGATATGATGATTACACTGTCCTATGGTCAAGTTTTCTGCTAAGTACCATAAAAGGCTAGAGGTAATAAAACAAAAATTGGACCATAACGAAGAGAAATTGTGATCAAAGATGTGTGTCACTGAGTCAAAGGGAATTAACTGACTGAACTAATTCATTTACCCGAGCTTTAGGGCTATAAATTGCTGTGTTTTATATTAGTTTTAACGCACATGGCAGGCACATTTCGGCCTAAAATTTATATTAATACAGTAATTCAAAGTTATTTTTTTCAGTTTGCAGGGAAGTTTTGTTTTTAGTACCTTATTCTAACCCTACTTTCGCAGTTACGACGCTATTTTAAAGTTATTTGCTTTATTTGCATTTTTTGTTTACAATAGGGAAAAACAGGTTTTAAATTACGTCCCTATTTTATTTCAATATTATTATTCTCAGAATTATATACTATTTTCAGGCTATTTTTTCAACACTAATTTTTTCCTATTTTTTTGTTTCAAAATAACAGGTTTAAAATAGAGTAAAATATCATTAAAATAGCAGTTGATAGTGCTTTAAAATAGAGGGAAAATAAGTAACTGATAGAGAAAAATAGAATGAGAAATAGAGAAAAAATAGAGGTAAAATAGGCACTATTTTTGTAAGCGTTGTTAGCTTATGGCTGCAAAATGGTACCATTTAGCTAGGAAAAATAGAGCATTAACCCCAATACAGAGAGAGTAATACTGCTGTGCCATTACATTTAAATTTTTATAATAATAATGAACACTTTATTTGCCTTTTTGAATACAGTTGTAAATCTCTCTACGTATGGGTAATTTACAATTGGCTACTTGAAATTGAATAATTCAAAAAGGAAAGTCAAAATTTCATTTCGTCTGGGCTAGCCCAAATCTTATTTCTACAACAACAGATATAATATGTGGCTCTAATTACTTTATCATTGTTTTGATTATATAATGTCGTTGCTTTTTGTCAATGCCAATGTCATTCATCATGTATAAAAACGTGGAACATTCGTCAGCGAAAATGCCAAGGGAGCTCATGGACAGGTTTACAAATTTAACACACCTGTAGCTACTGCTCATTTCTTTGATCAAGTTCAGGTATTTTTCTTTTTTTCGCACTGCATTGTTAATAAGGTTAGACTCGAAACCAGCTGTTAGTTCTAGAACATATAATAATAATAATAATAATATTCATTATAATATTCATTCAGGTGTTGTTTAAGCTCAAACTCTCTGGAGTGGCAGACCTTGCAGATTTGGCCTACATTTTGCATGCCCTCAACCTTGACAGCAGCCAATTCCTGTACATGTGTATAGTTGCTGGATGCGATTTCCTTCCTAACATCAAAGGTATTGGATACCAAGCAAGTCAGGCGGTGACAAGGAGAGACTTCTTCCACGAGCTAGGTAGTCACCGGTATGCACCTTCAGACTACTGCAAGGGATTCAAGCAGGCTTGTGCAGTGTTTAAGCACCAGGTGATTTATGATCTTCAAAGCAAACGTGTAAGGCCATTGACAGTATGGGAATCAGGAGAGGATGAGGCACAATTTTCTATGGCTTGTGGAGAGTATCTTTTACTTAATAATTGATCACCAATTATGGAAAATAGGGACACCTTGGGAAGGGTGGTTACTTGTTCATTCAAGTATAGTGTTTTGACTAGGAGTGTGAGGTGCCTTAAAAATCCTCAGATAAGTCAGATAATACCTTTTATAGATCGTTTTCAGTCACGTGACTATTTTTCAAGTGGCCGCCATATTGGTGCACATCAAATGTAAACAAAGAATACGAAGTTAGTCCAGGAAAATGGTTTTATGTGCGGTTTTTGGATGCGGGACACGAAGTGTCGGTGATAAAGGGATCTCCATGGCGAGAACACCGTCAGTCATAACTACTCAAGGTGAAGAAATGAGGGAACTCTCTGAAGAGAGGAGAAATAAATGGATTTCTGCCATCAGTAGAGAAGACCTCACAGACTCCATTTTGGAGCATGGCCGAGTTTGTGGAAAGCATTTCATCTCCGGCCAAGCTGTGGGAAAGATACGATCCTGATCAGGTTCCGACCCAAAATTTAGGTCACAAGAAATGTGATTCTGGTGAAAAGCTTCAAAATCTTGAAGCTGCCGCAAAGCGAGACGAGAGGGCTAGAGATCGTGAGCTGAAACAACGTGTTGCGGTAGAGTGTGAAATTGAAAAGCAGTTTCGAGAAGAAACTAAGCGCAAAAAAACAAAAACTTAATGAGTCAGGAGAAAGAGTTATGGATATCTCCTTCGATCTGGAATCAGTGATGAACGTAGAGCCTGAGAGTGGCGAGACTGGGACAGCGACTCAAACAGAGGAGTTTGAATATTTATTTTGCACCTCTGCCTAGAGACCGCCATTCGATGAAACGTATTTCGCTAATGACGACGAGAAGGTACGTTTTTACACCAGATTGCCTGCCTATGATGTGTTAAAAACAGTGTACCAGAATGTTTCGCCATTTGTTATGAGGAAGTCTCCAACGTTATCCAAATTTCAAGAATGTGTTCTCACGCTAATGAAACTTAAGCTGAACATGCCTATGCATGATCTTGCATACCGCTTTGGAATATCGCTACCAACTGTGTCAAGAATATTTTTAGCCTGGATGGTGGTTCTTGATGTTCGATTAGTGCCTTTAATAAAGTCGCCAGATCGTGAGGATTTATGGAGAACTATGCCTCAATGCTTCCAGTTTTCCTTTGGGAACAAAACTACAGTCATCATCGACTGCTTTGAAGTGTTTATTGCGAGACCTTCAAATCTCATGGCCCGAGCACAAACTTATTCAAACTATAAGAGTCATAACACTGTCAAAATTTTAGTTGGAATAACTCCACAAGGAAGCATTTCATTTTTCTCCAACGCTTGGGGTGGGAGGACTTCTGATAAGTATTTAACAGACAATTGTGGCATTCTCAAAAAGCTATTACCAGGAGATCTAGTGATGGCTGACCGGGGGTTTACTATCCAGGAAAGCCTAATGCTCCACAAAGCTGAACTTGCTATTCCAGCATTTACTAAAGGCAAAGACCGGCTGGATCCAGTTGATGTCGAGCAAACCCGTGGCATTGCAAATGTTCGTATACATGTGGAAAGAGTCATTGGGCTGCTAAGGAGCAAATACACAATTGTTTCAGGAATTTTACCAATTGATTTCTTGCAATGTGACCCTACTGGTTCCCAAGAAGCTAAAATTCCTATGATTGACAGAATTACTACAGTGTGTGCTGCTTTGACAAACCTTTCCAATGGTATTGTACCCTTGGATTAAAGAAACAGTGTACTGTGAAACGAGTTGTACAAATCTTGTAGTTCCTGTGATCTGATATTGAGCACTACAAGGTAAAAAACAACCAATGGCTCTTTTAACGAGCACCAGAGTTAATAATACAGTGTGGTCATGGTCAATTTAATCTCATGTACTTATTTTGATTTGTTATGTGTGTAGGCAAGGAAGTGTTCATTTTTTTTATCAGCGGTGTCCTTGCGTGTTATTTGAAGCAATTTGAGCCCATTATCAAATTGTTTAATTGTTTGGACAATGCACAGTTGACCAGTCTCTTTTCTTCTTTCAGACTCAAAAAACCTTGAACACCTAAGGTATTTCAGGAATTTTAATTTTCTTATGACCAGTAGCAACAAAGATCAGAACATGTGAACAAACTAACAATATTATTGTTACGGTTTAGTTTTCACACTTCCGATTGCCTTGTTCCCCAAGAACAATAACAGTCTTGAAATATTTTTAGTGTTCACAGTTTTCTGATTAACAAAATATTTTAATTTTTTTTCTTTGAAAAAAACAACTGGGTTTGTAACTAATCTATTAACTGTATACGAAGAACCCAATTCCCCCCCACTCATGGAAACATTTGCTGTTTTTTCTTTGTTTCTGCCTCCCCTTACAGGACTGTCAAACTTTTCTATCCCATCCTTTCTGCTTACATTCCCGCTGCTAATAAATATCAACACTCTCTAAGTTTGATAAAGTAGACTTCTTATGAATGCAAAGAGGCACAATTCAATTGCCATAAAGGAATTTGTGCACGCTGTTGCGTCATTAAGGCTATGCCATGATCACACTGCAATCATGCTGTGTGTGGCATCTGTTTAAATCGTCGGAAATCTTTTCTGTAAAAGAAGTTCAAGAGGTAGGAAAAGGAGTTATAACTCCTCCCATTAGGCAGTGTAATAAATGTGGACGCATCTGGCTAATGTTATATGTTACATTCATTGGATTCAGGCCATAAACTAAACTTGTGGCATAAGCTATTGAAAACACACCACAGTCAGAGGCATTTTTCTGTTGTTGCACTGGAATAAAGCGAACTCCCTTAAAGGCTGGTCTGGTCAGGTCTGAAGCCAGTTGCAATAACTCTTGTGTCAGGGGGGTTGATAAGCTATCATAGACATCCACATAACCTGGAGGACTATTTATGCTAGAAAAACATACCCAGTGGTTATTATTGACGTTGACTATTTGGATAAATGGTCTTGTCATAATGTCAAATTGATGGACTGGACCAAGAGTAGGCCTCTGAAATCCTTGTATGCTTGTACTGATTTTCTTCAGTAGTATGTGGGCTTCATGTATAATGACACAATCCAGCCATCCATTTGGGGAGGAGATTAAGTCATATTCATACTTGCCAAGTTTTCCCTCTGGCCCATACTTGTCACGAGGAGGCCTCTTCCTTAAGACAGTTTCCACAATTGTTACTTCTTCACTGCCAGGACTTTCTGTTGGTTCTGCTCTTGTTGTGGCTTGTGTGACTGCTGGCTTGGTGTTTGCTGAGACATGCATGGCTGTTGACTTGATGTTTGTTGACACTTGCGTGGCTGTTGGCTTGGTGTTTGGTGACACTTGCATGGCTGTTGGCTTGTTGTTGGTTGTGACGTGCATGACCATTGGCTTGGTGTTTGTTGAGACATGTGTGACAGTTGGCTTGGTGTTTGTTGAGACATATGTGACAGTTGGCCTGGTGTTTGCTGTGACATGCATGGCTGCTGGCTTAGGGGCTGTACCCTCAGTTGGCTTTTGTGCATTACTCATCATACAAGCTGGACAAAACCAAACTTTATTGTTATTTGGCATTCTCTTCCTTCCCAGACATGGCAAATGGAAAAACATCCCATTAGGGCAGTCCACGTTAGTGCACTTTACCAGCTTGTCGTTTTTGTTGGCTACAGATTTACAAGTACAAACTGAGTTCATCTTCAGAGCTTCACTTATTAGGCTAGTTCACTTTTGCTTCGATCCTCCTCGCTTGAATTCTGGTAAAGCCCTACATTTAGGGCAGTACCAGGTCTTGGGGATAGCATCAATACCCAAGCATGACAAGTGAAATTGAAGAATGGCAGTCTTGATTACAGCACTTGATGGTATCTTCCTCAGTATCCTGTCTGCAATAACACACAGCATTAACCAGCAATGCCCCATCTCTAGTTAGATTCACCCTTCTTGTGTACCATCGAGCAAGTATCTCAGGCAAAACACAAATTCTCCAAAATTTCTCTAACTTGGGTAAAACTTTGTTCCAATGTTCTTTGTCTGGAAGTACTTTTGTTTGGACAAACTTGAGGTAATTAGTTGCTTCATTCACAGTACAGACAATGAAGTAGTTGTAGTTTAGCTTAGTGGTAAATAGCTGTTGCTGTACCTGGTAATAGTATTTGTGTGTGTGGAGCAGTGTGAACTGCCCAGCAATGTTTTTTGCAAGACAAGAGGAGGGTTTTGAAAAATATGAATCAAAATCACAGTTCTCTATGCAATAAGGACACTTGATTTCCCCACAACCATTACCACAGCAGTCGCATGAGCATAGAAAATCTGGGGTAGCGTGTATCCAAGGATGTTCTTGATTAATAAAGAGACCACATTTTACAATCTTAAAGTTCACATGAGTTTTTTTCATAGATTCCTCAAAGGCACGGATAGCCGAGGCTTCATGCTTGCATCTGTGACACACAGCCTTGGTATTTAACTTGTGCAGTTCCGGGTAACAAATCCTTTGAATCAAAGATTGCAATGGTAATGCGGGGTCTGAATGTGCTGCAGCCTTACTCTGCGAAGCACCGATTCTGCCTGCCCTATGCTTAAAAAAGTTTGTCCCACTTGCCTGTGAAATGGTGTCCTTTTGAACCTGAGCGATTTGTTCCTCTGTTATATCAATGTTAGTGCTCTGACAAAGTTTTATCAGCTAATTGTAAGGCAATTCTAAGTTATTCTTGTCGAACAAATCCATTACCGAAGGGATTTTGCCACTGAGCAACATGTAGCTGTACGCATAAAGAGGTATCAAGCTCAGCACTACAGGCTTTGTTTTGGATTTGCTTAGATCAGAGTAAAAGCATTCCATTTCCGCTTGTGTTTTGGCGCTGGTACTTCCGGTTTCTGAACAGGGCTTTCAGTAAAGACGTTCGAGCCCACAGAAGACTGGAGGTCATTTGATAGATTCTCTATCGTTGCATCAAGGTCAGCTTTCATTTTTTTAGCTGATTTGAAGTTTATGTCTCTGACCCTGGCGTATTCAACCTCTTTTGCAAAGTTTGGTAGTATCGAGGAGCACTTCATTTGAGTACACGATAGCCCTCCATTTAACTTCGTCCAGGTCTCGAGATAAAAAAGCACGCTGGCTATATGGGAGCATGACTCGGCTAATCCCGCCTTGCATCCCAAACAATGAGCGCAGTTGATTGTCTCATCCATTTCGGTAATAATCCAAATTGGTATCAAGGCCTCATTCATGCGCTGCGAGTGCCGCACTTTCGCTAAAACCACGAACTTGTTTGAGATGATATGTCCTTGTACGACCGAAACGAAAGCCGAAACCATTTAATTATAAGCCTCGACACTTCGGAAAGACTTAAATTGCTTTTGCGTGTAGAAGCTAGTTTCGAGAATCAAATAACAAAGAAGATCAGTAGATTCTACTGGTGGAAGGCAGTCTGGCTCGAAGCTTTTCCCTTCTATCAAAACAGGATCGATTCCAATAGTTGAGATTTTCTGCAGATAATGCTCTCTGACTTTTATATCCAGCTTTTTGGCGTAATCCGAAATTGGGACGGGAATTACATCATCTGAATCACACAAAGAAATAATATTTTCTTCACTAGAAATCATTCTTTTAGGTAGTAAAACTTACAGGAATTATAATTTTGGACTGTGTTTGCATGTGTTTAGAAGTGGATCACGTGACTCAGATGTGCATCAACATGGCGGGAATAAATTCCGTGACGACATGTGAAAACGATCTATAACCTTTAGAGACGCAATAATCTTGGACATTTGGTTATCGTGGTTATTTGTCTGGGAGTTTTGGGAGTTTTAAAGAACTCATTTGTGTTCAGTGTGAACAATACTCGACTTATTTGTTGTACTCATGACATAAAAACGTACTCCTATCCTGGAGTGCAGTGCGTAGAAAGATATGTGGGGTCAAAAGTTAAAAATATACTGATCATTGTGTTTGTGTTAATATGTTAAGGCAGATAAACTGCTTTGTTCTTAACACAATTAGATTTTCTCAATCTGACTGTGTGGCAGATTTTGTGGTTGGAAATATTGACATGGTCACCATGGAAAAGAAAAGCACATTTCCAGCTCACCAGGTGAAAACATACACTTGTATTAAAGTTTATAAGGTTACATTTTAGAGTACTTATTTTGGGCAAACACTCTTTGTTATTCATTAGCTATTTTGTTATTACTTGACATGTTTTGGTAGCACATGCACTTCTTGTTAAAGCTTGCATATGAAATGCATAATTATCAAGGTGTTTGTACATAATGTTTGTACATAAACAAAGCCAGTACAGTCAATGAAAGTGAATCTGAAAATGTAAACCTGTAACGTGAACTTGTTGGAAGTTTAATTTATCTCATGACTTGCACAAGACCTGATTTGTGTTATGTTGTGTCCCAGAATCTGTCAAAGCCAACGAAATCACATTGCGGGATGGCTAAGCAAGTGCTGAGGTATTTAAAGGGTACTTATGACAGATGCTTAAAGTTTGTTAAGGGACCTCAGCTGAAACTGGTAGGATATAGTGATTCAGACTGGGCTATGTCTGATGATAGACGCAGCATTATCAATCAATCAATCATTTATTTTAACACGTTACGTCAAAGAGCTAAAAAACTCGTTAATACGAACACGTATAAATATAAGTGAAAGAATTCTTCTTAAATTTAAGATTAAAGTTAGGTAATTCCAAATTCAAGCCCTCCCCTCTTAGCCTATACGGTGTATGCCTGTATTTAAAAAGGCTTCAAATATAAGTAGGTCCCGCACCATTTAAGCATGTAAAAAGAAGTATTAACGCCTGATGTAAGCGCTTACAATATAAGGATGTCATGCTAGCCATAGTGAGCAGCTCATCGTATGACATTGACTTGTTGTGCCCGATTAATTTGCTCAAAATATAAAAGTTGCCATCTTCGAGACGGTTGCGTTGACCCGTACCTATGCCTACAAACAAAGGACTGCAGAATTCTAGATGAGGTAATATAAATGCTTTATAAAGTTTTATCATTGCATCATGAGGAAGAAAACGCCTTATTCTTCTCAATGCAGAGGCCTTCACGTAGGCTTTCTTTAGTTGATCTGATCTGATCTGATATGTGTTCTTTATTGGATAGGTCCTTGTCTAGAGTAACTCCAAGGATCTTAATAGATCGGAGAAATTCTATCCTAGCATTATTAAGAAATAAAGAATAATAATAGGCACAGGGTCCGACAGATAATGGTTGAGTCTTAGTACTGTTCACTGTTAAATGGTTAGACTCAAACCAAGACGAAAGAGTCTGAAGATCTTTGTTGAAGGCAGTCGTGTCACACAGAAATTCAAGTCATTAATGCATATGTTGAACAGCAACGGCCCCAATAGTGAACCTTGCGGAACGCCAGATTTAACTGTTTTGAAGTTAGAGCATACGCCTTCTAATCTGACACATTGTTGACGACTTAGCAGGTAGGTGGACATCAGTTCCAAGGCATGTGGAGAAAAGCCATAGGCCTTCAAATTCGCGAGCAGAAGGCTGTGGTTTATAGTGTCAAAAGCTTTGCTCAAGTCCACAGCGACCGCCGCTACAGCTTCCTTGTTATCAATACTGTGCCTTCAATCTTCCGTCACTTTAAACAATGCAGTGCAGCAAGAATGAGTTTTCATAAATCCAGATAAGTTTGAGGACAAAACATTATAAAATACATTCCAAGTTTGGTCGTAAATAACTTTCTCAAACACCTTCGATAGCGAAGTTAATATTGAGACAGAGTGGCAGTTTGCTTTGTCTGTGTCAATCCCCCGTTTAAAGCCAGGAGTAAGGCGCGCTTGCTTCCATGCAAAGTAGTCACCAAAGACTTGGGCCACAAACCCAGGGTCGGAAACAACACTACTGCCCTAAACGAGGATGATGCCATGTGTGTTTTTACCAGAACTAGTTTGCAAAAGGGGCTTCATTTTTCTCCAAAATTCGCCCGGATGTTTAGCACTCAAGGAAGTGTCACAGCAGAACCTTTTCAAAGTGCTGCGCTTTAGCGACATAACCTTGCCGCTTAAAATCGTCCCAAGAAGTAGATGTACAATTCCGCTTGTGGCGCTTGAATAATTTGTTTCGGTGCAAAATTTCACGCAGCACATCAGGTGATATCCATGGCAACTGGTCTCCCCGAATCCAATTTTTCTTTAGGGGCACGTGCTGGTCAAGAACATCTTATTAGTGGTTATGCATTCATGTGATGAAAGCTCAATGATTTCATGGAAAAGCAAAAAGCAATCTACTGTAGCATTGTCTTCATGTGAAGCTGAAAATGTAGCTTTAGCCACTGCTACACAAGACCCTAAATTTCTTAGACAACTTTTTACTGGTATGTAGATAACCAGGGAGCAATTGCGTTAGCTAACAATCCTGTACGACACAAAAGATCAACGCATATTGATGTGAAATATCACTATGTAAGGCGAGATTCAGAACGGGGCTCTCAGCTTAACTTATGTACTTACAGATAACAATGTTGCAGACGTGTTCACCAAACCTGTGACAAAAGTTAGACTTGATAGACTGTTAAGGTAATGTATCAAACCCCAAGTTGTGTTTGAGTGGGGGTGTTGGATACAAACTCAACTGTAACCGGAAATTAGCGACCGGAAGTGCACGTACGAGATTGTAACACTAGGTCGAGGATGATTGCACTATATGTGACCCTCCACGGGATTTCAGGGAATAAGGTGAACGCACGCGCACGGCACGTTATAACACGCTCGCACGCTAATGGCATGACACGCTTACCGTGCAGATATGGGCATAAAAACAATTGATACTGGACAGCGTGTTCGTAGCCATTGTTCATATCTGATTAACACGGTAGAGCTTTGTTTTTGTAACATGCAAGATTTTTTGTTTTTGTAACACGCCAAGTTCCTTTGTTTCCGCTAGCTTATCTTGTACAACCCATCTTACTTCGTTAGTTGTGTTTGTCAGCTTCTTATTTGTAAGAATGGTGCTTGTAAAGTATATTACTCATACAGTATATAAGCGAAAATAACGAAAATCTACTGTCCTATTCGAAAGTTTCAATTTAAAAAAGCAAACATTCACGGCAATTTACGGCTCTTTGTCTCTGGATTCTCGCAAGTAAGTCAGTGAGCACGACATGTTTCACAACTAGGTTTAGAGGAGCTCAGTTTGCACACGTGAATTATTGTTTTTTAAAACTTCTTACCTTCTAAAATTTATATCCTTATCGCTTCACGCAATTACATGTAATAAGCCCAGTATCGGAGCTTTGTGGATCCTTTAGGAACAGATTTCCAGCTTCATGCCTCCTGATCGACACGGTCGATCGGCGCTTTGAAAATGAATAAGCGCTAGTTGGTCGGTGCAAAACGAAACTTTCTGAACGAGACCGCGAATTACTGTATGGCGATCTTGGCATCTTACGAGCTCTTAGCCTTCAGTGCTGCGGTATATACGTTTTGTAACGCAACTGTAACGCGAGGATAATTAGAATTAAAATTGTGGAAGGTATTAACGAATTTTTTTAGTTCGCAAACTCAACAAAATTTAAGTTTAAAACTCCTCTGGACTCTGTGCGTGCATTCACTTGCTTTTGGTTTCCATAGTTACCCCATTTACACTACAAAACGTTTACACGCGCAAAGGAACATACAACAATTCCAGGGGCACTCAACGACAATTTTCGGAAAAATACCTGTTTGGAAGACGACTTGAGATCTAGAATTTTCGGAGCATTTGTTGTAAAATTTCTTGCTTGCCTGCTTCTCCTAGGATTTTCGAATGTCTAAAATATGGTATAGTTGCCTATTTTTAACGTATTTTTACCCTAAAAAGGTCACCTAGAATTTTCGGGAGCCTTTTTTCCGGCTGAAATTTTCGAAAAGGTAAGTTTTGATCCCTATAATTTTCGGATCACTAGACTTTCAGCTAGGAAATCCGAACAGATGAAAAATTTTTAGGGGATAAAACTATGCCTATATCTACCGTTTAAAGACCACAATACGTTTAACAATGGTATGTTTTAGCAGTTTTGAACTAAATTCTCGTTGGGTGCCCCCGCAATTCGTAGTCGTCGATTATCAAGTTTCAAAATGGAATCACAAAGTAATGATTTCTCATACTTTCTTACCGGCGAAAGAGATTTAGAATCCCTGGCAGAAGATTATTTTAGCGCCAGACCAGTAGATGAGCAAGATGATCAAGAGGACAACTACGGTTCTGACTTCTACAGCAGCAATGAAAGTGATCAGGAAATTGACTCCGATGTTGACTTTCACTTTTCGGAGCGTGATACATCTGAGCGATCAAAAGTGCAGGCATTTGTGACCAAAACATGTGGACGTGCACATGGATATAAAGGAAGTCCATGCAGCTCTACTATTTAAGTTGAAGATATCGTCGATTGTCGAAACAACTGTGCGGAACTTTCCTCGACTGAACTAGATCTAGTAATTTTGGGAATGATCCACAGTGCCATAAACTGTGACCAGGTTAGCTATTCAGGAAGAGCAGAGAAAACGAGGCAGCGAACCAGGATGTCTTTCTATTTCCACAGCCACTGAATCTGCCTGAAAACTTTTCTTTTCATGCATCGTCTCCACAAGACCAGATTCTACAGTCCCTGTTGCGAGTTTGGTTAAAGGTTCGTCTCAAAATGTCTACCATGTGCAAAGTTAAAACATAGCTGGCTATTCCAAATGCGTGTTTTGTAAAAAAACGTTCTAAAATGCCTAGATTGTACAGAGTTCTAACATATCTGGTTTATCTAAAGTTAAAAATGCGAATTTAATGTCGAGGGCTAGTTGTAGGCATGTTATGTGTGCTACAGATGTATCACTGACAGTAGTGTTAATTGCAGCTTCAGTTGTTGGCTGAATTTCTCAAGGAACAGAACCAAAAACAAGCCGAGCTGAAGAGAACTGGAGATCAACGCGTAGAGACAAGCGAGGCGAGCATTCAGTGTCACATGAGTACGAGTCCACCTTCTACAGCTGATGCATCAGTACAGACCGACTACTACGACGTGACGACCAAGCTCCGACAGCAGGTATTGAACCTGACAGAAGTACTTAAGGAGTTGACAGCACTTAAGTGTCTCCACCAGCATGAGCTGAAGCCCACTGCTTTACCGTTATTTGATGAGGATCCAGAGTTTCCAACATTGGATTCAGAAGCAGTCGCATCTCTGGTGAGTTTCTGTAGCAGCCCTACTGTCCAGACTTCTCAGGAAACAGCAGAGCCCAGTGAACCTCAGCATCCCGTCCTGAGTATGTTCCGTCAAATCAACAGAGAAAACCTGTCGCCCGTGTTTCCACCTCAAATGGCTCCATCAAGACCACCCCTGCAGCCTGTTGATCAGAACGTTACTCCATTAGTGTCAAGCAGCCACAGTCCAACGGATGAACAGTGAACCAAAGTAACTGCAATTGTAGCGACTGGAACTGACATGTCTACTACCCCCCTTGCTTGTGTTGATGTGCTATTCACGGAAGACAAGATGGCGAGGTGCAACACATCAGGAACTAAAGGTTTCCAGCAGTTGGACAGTACGAAGTTAGGCTTCCTTGTGTCGGTTTTACGAAGAAAGTTTGACTCGCCATGTTTTAGTGAGCAATGGAATCAGGTAGCCGTGTGCATTAATACCAAGTGTAGGGGAAAGAGAAGGACTCTTATTCATAGACTTAAGAAAACTAGTTTATTTTGAAAACACTGAGATGGCACTATTAGTCTGTCTTTTGCGCATTGTAATTTAGAATAGATATTTTTTGGATTGCTTCGGCTGTGTCTTGTAACAACCCCTTTCTTAAAAAAGGCGCAATTTACCACATTGTATTTTCTTTATTTTGTTCTTGATATGTACATAGGTTTCATCAGATTTTCCCTGTAAAATAACCACATTTATTAGTGATTCAAACCAAGAACAGTCAGGCAGTTTAGATGTAACTTAAATAAAGTCAATTTTGCGTTATGACTTCACACTTCACTCTATCTTTTAAATGTAATAGTGCGGTTATACAGAGGCAGTACATGATCTATCTTGAAATTCAAATAAACACTTGGCACGGCCTTCATGCCAATCAATATTCTGGGTAAAAAAAAAACATTGGGCTGGTTATTTACACAAAGTTTAACTTAGATCGCTGTTTAAAGGGACTCAATGGGCCTCAAGCCATTAGCTTGTAAGGTGTTTATTTTGAGTACAGTATAAATGTCTCTCTTGTCTGGGCTGCAAGTCTTCTTGTTGCTATTAACAGCAAAGAATCTTTACAAGGGGCGGGTTAGAGAAATTTAAAATGGCTTAGAACACGGTTTTGTTAAACACCGTCTGAACTCTGTTTAATTAACCGGTCCATTATTTGGATGAGGTTAGGGGATGACAGTCAATGAAATTTATAACGCTTAAAGTTTGAAAGTTTAGCAAAAAGTCTGTCAGTTAATTAAAAAACAATAAATAATCAATTATTTTGTAAACTCCGTCAGAAAGAAGGAAAAAAAAGCAGAAGAATTTGTCGTGAGCAGCAGTCGAGCCCCGAGCACTTAATTGTAAAATGCACGCATTACCACTGTACCACAGACTTAGGCTGCTCTTCTGGAGTAAATTTACCCATATAAATTAAATAATGCCTCGGAGACTCTGGCAAAACAGACAAACACAGTGAGAACACAGTTTACAAGCAGAATGATAATTATTGTGAAATAAATATCATAAATGGTTGTAATTTCAGACATTTCGGGTGTATAACCCTTCTTCATGGTGCGAGACAACTGTTAAAATACTCCAATAAGACGTCAAATGGAAGCGTGTGCACGTGTTTACAGTAGCGCGCGCATATAATTATATAATTCGCAAAAATAAAGCTGAAATTGATAGTCCGTTCGGCTGAACAGTTCCTAGCTGGAAAATCCCTCACTTATCAACGGAGGTAAAGTCATTCGCTTTTCATCAAACAAGTTTGCTCTCATACTAAAGCTTACGTTTGTCAATTATATAATTATACATTTGTGCTTGGCTAGCTACCTTCACAAGTTTACGATTTCAAGAGCAGAGGACATTGCTAGTTCATCCCGTGTTTAGCAAGCTGCTTTAGGAAAACGAGAAATTCGAAAATAAAGGAAGAATCCAAAAGCAGGATTAAATGAATGGACAACAAGTCGAGACGCCATTCTGTTCGGCAATTCATTGACCGATGTTGCACTGGATATTGACAACTAGAATCGTATTGGTGAGCTAATAGAAAGCCTTACAGCTTACGAAGTCCTGCTTGTACAAATCGAAAGAAACTTTAACTTCAAAGAGCGTGCTAAAAATTTGACACGGTCACCGTGTTATACTGTGCAAAAATGCAGGCAAGATCTTAACACGTTCCTTTGTCTGTACCGTGCGAAGGAAGACAATGGCTGCAATGTTAATGAGGCAGGTAACTAACACGCAGCTAACGTGTTAAAAGCTAGTTCTTTTTGTTTTAGCGTGCGAGCATGCCGGGTGCGTGCGTTCACCTTGCATTGAAATCCCGTGGAGGGTCACATATTGCATCAGCCCACATCGTTGCCTTTACAGATTACATCCGGCGTGGCCTGGACCTTGGATTGCTCACTGGGGTGGTATTTATTGACTTGCACAAGGCATTTGACTCTGTTGATCACGAAATACTTATTAACAAACTAGACTTAAGGACATTGCATTAGACTGGTTCCGAAACTACCTGACAGACCGAAAACAACTCGTGAGTTTTGGTAAAGAAATCTCTGATCCATGTCTTATTACATCAGGTGTCCCTCAAGGGTCAATTCTTGGGCCTTTCCTCTTTGTCCCGTTTGTCAACGATTTGCCTGTAGTTCTAGAACGATGCCAGATTCTGATGTACGCTGACGATACAGTTATGTATTTCACTGCTAGTAATGCCCAAGAAATCAGTAGTACTCTTACATGTGAACTTGCCAAGGCTAATGACTGGCTTGTAGACAACAGTCTTTTTATTGACCAAGGCAAAACAGAATGTGTTTTATTTGGTACTGGTTCTAGGTTAGCAACTGCTAATCTCTCTGTGAATATCGATGGCAAGGAGCTAACACGGGTTGCTGAGTATAAATACCTAAGAGTAATTTTGGATTAGTCGCTTTCATGGAACACGTACGTGAATTATTTATGTTGGTTTGCACGATAATCCTGGCCGCACCTCTCTGTAATTTTTCTATATTATCAGCATTCGTACGTCCACAACAGTTACAAATGGTATCACAATAATCAAGAACAGGAAGAATAAATGATCTGTAAATTATACCAGCAGTATGCATACTAATGCTCCGCCTGGTGCGGCCAAGAATTCCTATTCTCTTACTAACTTTGCTTATATGATACGCTGGGGCTTAGACGGGAGATTCACACGTCAAAACTTGTGAAGAAATGTCTAAATAAGTGCTGCCGGCAATTTTTAATGGAGTACTTTTATTTTAATAGAGATATCGTACAGAAAAAAACACGGCAAAGTAATAATCTCCGTCTTCCCTCCATCAAATTAGAATGTACGAAAAAAGCTCTTTATTATTATGGATGTAAAGTTTTTAATCGTAATTTGTAATTTTATTAATAGTGTAGTTCCAGTTTTTCGGTTTTATTTTATTTTATTTTAAAAATTTTAAATGTTTGTCAAAATTTGGTTTATTACTTATTACTTACCCAAACAGCGGTATTTTACTTAGGCCCAGGACTGCGCGGTCGTGAACATGTGAAAAGGTGTTCACCATGTTTGTACTAAGTTTTAGGTTGTATTTGTTTGCATTTAGTAATCGGTTCTCATCGTACTTGCCGCACGTCTTAACACGTGTTTGTAAGTTTCCTTTATTAGCGTTTTCTGTATTTCCTTGGTTTTAAGTGTTAGTGTAACTTTTTCATTATATTTCTGTAATTTTCATGCATTTTGTATTCCATCTAGAAACCATGTTTATCGTGAGGTTGGTTATTGTACATGAGTTTGACACGTAACATCTCCATGTAGTTCCGAATTAAACGTTGTGGTTTTTCGCGGCTACCAATAGTTTGTAATAATTTTTGTCCCTTTTTAAGGAAATTTTTCTATTAGCTTAGTTAGGACAAGTTTTAAGTATTTTTAACATATTTTTATATATTTTTTTTATCTAGGGCCTCTACGGATATCAGTTTTTGCAACTGTAGGAGTTACCCTAGCTAAATGAAAGTATCTTCCTCTTCTTCATGGTGAACGTTGTGGAAGAAATCTATCAGAGTTGAAATAAAAACTGAATTGTGTTGTACGTAAAGTTTGTCTTATGCACTAAGAACTATGGTGACAACAAAAAAATGTCATGCTGTTTACAAACAACTTAAGGAGCTAAAAACAATTAATCACCCATTAACTGGTCATGAAATAAAAATTATTAGACGCACGTCTGGGGATGGAAAGGAGAGAAGATTATCTACTGGCGGTTCATCTGCCAAATCCACTTATCCAATCCTAGAAGCTTCAGAACACCAGAGCCAACGGGGCGACATGAAGATCATCTGTCCAGAACCAGTGTGGACAGGTTCAGATGCAGAGAGTTGCCAGAAAAAAAATTGAGACTAAACTGTGTGGAAAGGCCCCCACCAAAGAAAAGCACAGAGAGTTTGCCAAACAAAATCTTAGGAACACTGGGCGTAAAAATTGGAATGGTACAGCCCTTTCTGAGTACTACCCTGGTACTGCTCACCTTGGCTTTCAGTCAGCTGAAACGCTATGTTTGCAAATTACAAAGATTGGAACAGGTGAAATGTACCTTTTCACACTACTTTACACTGACAGTGATTGTATTGTGCCGGAAAATATCCACATCTTCCCCAGAGGATTTTTTGGTTTAAACCCGCCAAGGGGGTGTTACTAAAACGAAGACCCAAAAACGAAAACCTAAGACCTAAGACCCCTTGGACTAAAACAAAGACCCTATGGACTAAAACGAAGACCCGATGGACTAAAACGAAGACCCCATGGACTAAAACGAAGACCCCATGGACTAAAAGGAAGACCCCATGGACTAAAACGAAGACCCCATGGACTAAAACGAAGACCTCATGGACTAAAACGAAGACCTCATGGACTAAACCGACTGATGCTAACCGCTAAGGGCAATGCCCACTCCCGTAATTTGTTACGGCGATTTGGAAATGTTGTGGAATTTGCTCTGCAGTATTTAGTTGTGATAGTCAAGTTTATCACTTACCTTTCCTTCAGGTTTCTTTGCGGAAAATATTTTGCATGTTTTAAACCTCTTTGGAAGTGTTTACGGTGTAGATGATGTCAGTTTTATTTAAATCAAAGCTTTTTGCAGGGTGAAGGCGAGAGAGCCCTCTAGTGTGTCGTGTGGTTATAATGTGCCCTCGGTGAAGAGGAATGGCGTGACAAGCCCAAAGGTCATCAGCGTGTTCATGGGAGGCCTGACAATCAAAAAGGCTTATGACAGGATTTGTCTTGTGGACTTCCGCCAAACGGGTTTTGGGAGCGTAGTTGGGGTTTGAGGGAGGAGGGGGTCCATTGCCTTTGTGATATTTTATGGTTCACAAATTCAATGTCGGATGATTTGGGTGTCATCCCGGGTGTAATGAGTTAAGAAAATATAACCGCGTGCTCCAGCTTTCTAAAATGTCGAAGAATTGTATCAATGCATTTAAAAAACAAAACAGTGACAACACTTAGTACAGGGAGGGAAAAACAAGGAGACATTAATTCTCATTGACGAATTCCGGGACAGAGGAACCTCGCGCTCTATTTATTACTTTTTACCTAATCAATAGGGGAAAAAAAGCCTTCGATCTAGAACATTACTCGAGTACAGGTTAACATTTCGAGTTTCATTTAAGCGAGGTTCATTTGTCTTTATGCGGGGTTTTTTTTATATCCCTGTCATACGCTGTTACGATATTCTGTCCTCTATTGTTAAAAAATGACTAATCTTTACGGCTTAAACAGTTGTTTTTATGATAACTGTGATAAAAAAATAATAATAATAAAAGAAAAAGAAGGAAAAAGATAAGGAAAAATAACGCATGCCGACGAGACTCGAACCTGGGACCTTTGTTCCATCATCACGGTTTTACCACTAGGCCACAAGGGCTCTCCCGCCTTCACTCTGCAAAAAGCTTTGATTTAAAAAAAAACTGACGTCATCTTCACCGTAAACACTTTCAAAAAAGGTTTAAAACATGCAAAATATTTCCCGCAAAGAAACCTAAAGGAAAGTGATAGACTTGACTATCACAACTAAATACTGCAGAACAAATTCCACAACATTCCCAAATCGCCGTAACAAATTACGGGAGCGGGCATTGCCCGTAGCGGTTAGCATCAGTTGTTTTAGTCTATGAGGTCTTCGTTTTAGTCCATGGGGTCTTCGTTTTAGTCCATGGGGTCTTCCTTCTAGTCCATGGGGTCTTCGTTTTAGTCCAAGGGGTCTTAGGTCTTCGTTTTTGGGTCTTCGTTTTAGTAACACCCCCCGCCAAGGCACCAGAAATTTTACTTTACCAACGTATAACATGCCACTTTCAAATATCATCAAAGTACTTTAAAATTCGGAAATACTGTGCATGCCTTTCACAAGTTTGCACGTTTTATAGAATATTTAGAAATATAAAAGGGCTACCAGTAACTAAAAATCCTGCATAATTATGAAAAGCTACATTTTACATAAATGGGGTATAAATAAAAATTTTAACCCAACCTTCCGCCACTGAGAAAGTTGCCAAAGTCGAGTCTGCTACTAGACCACTTGACACAGAACAAGCCAACTCAGCCAGGAGAACTGTTAATAATCTTCTCCAAAAGGCACAGCCACCTAAGCCTAACATAAGTAAAGACATGAAACAACCCTCGAAAGCTAGGAGGAGGATAACACTATTATGGTTCCCCCGGCTAACAAGGGTCGTGCCAGTGCAGTTTAAGATACCGGGAACTATTGCCAGAAGATGAAAACTTATCGAGAGCAGTCTATATTGACTTATTAACAAAGACCATACTGACCGTCTAAGGAGAAAATTAACTGAAAAGCTCTTAAATCTTAAACCTGTGTATAACAAGATGAGACCTAAACACATACAGCCACCTAGAATATACGGTCTACCTAAGACACACAAATCGAGCATACTTCTCAGACCTATAGTTTCATATGTTAACACCTTTGCTTATGATTTATTAGCCTATTTAGCTGACATCTTAGCTCCCTTAACGGGAAGTCTGACTACACGGTTAAGAATTCAGCTGATTTTGTGTCTACTAGAAACAAAGAAAAGGTAGATGAAAATGAGATCATGGTATCTTTCGATGTAGACTCTTTATTTACAAACGTTGCGATTGAAGGCGCTCTAAGAGCTACGTTATGGAAACTAGAGAGTGACCTAAGCTTCCCTAATCACACAACTTTAACAGCTGCACAGATTGATGACCTTCTAAACTTTGTTTTAAGGTCCACATACTTTCAGTATGATGTAGCGATTTATGAACAACAAGATGGTGCTGCTTTGGGAAGCCCAGTTTCCGCAGTCATAGCTATACCTCTACATAGAGGACTTTGAAGAACAGGCACTACCATCCGTGCCAACCGCACCAAAGATCTGGAAACATTATGTTGATGACACTTTTACTATCTCAGAATGGAACAATGTCAAAGACTTTCTACAGCACCTCAACACTCAACAACCATCCGTTTTACAATGGAGACTGAGAAAGATTGAGAAGACTTGCTAATAGATTCAAACACTTTTTTATATCTGTGGGAGAGAACACAGCTCGTGACTGCAGAGCTTGCCCAGTTGCATGGCTTATCAAACCTTCCCATCCCTTTTAAGCTCTGTCCATCAGACCTGTGACAAGTTGTTTGAATTTAAAGCAGTAACTTATGAGGATGTGTGAAAGGTGATTATGGCTATGCCTTCGAATAAAGCCCCAGGATATGACAGAATTCCCTCATCTGGGATGAAGGACTGTTTGCCCCATGTATTACCAACCTTAACCGCGCTAGTAAACCTTTTGTTTGCCAGCTCCGCTTTCCCCAGCACCTGGAAGAAACCAGTGGTGGTACAGCACCCTAAGACTGGAGATCACAAGATTCCTAATAACGACCGTCCGATCTCGTTACTTCCCGTACTTTCCAAAGTGACCGAGAAGAGTGCTTTGAATCAATTTAATGGCTTTCTGACTCAACTAGGCAACCTCACCTACTACCAGAGCAGGAATCGCAAACACCACTACCAAAACCCTGAGTCTGCTTGTTACTGGTCATATTTTCAAAGTAATGGACCAGAAGGAAATAACAGCTATAGTCCTGATCGATCCAAGCAAGGCATTTTATAGCACATGTCATAGGACACTCCTGAAGTTGCAAGGGCTGAGTGCATCAAGTAAAGCGACAAAGTGGTTTGAGAGCTACCTTACCAACCATATGCAGTCAACACGACTATGAACATCTTGTTCTGAGGAGCTAATCATTACACATGGCGTACCTCAGGGGTCCATTTTAGAGCCGCTCCTGCTCAGTCTTTACATGAATGACTTACCCTCCGTTGTCAATTTTCAAGCGTCGAGTCATATGTTGACGATACGATGGTTTACCTTTCATTCTGATTCAAGGACATTGACTCCTGCCTGATTAAAGACACTGAAGATCTTCGTCTCATCACCGCCTGGTGCTGCACATCAATCCTAGTAAAACCAAACTGAGTTTGTTTAATGAGGAGGTTAAACTGTTGTGGGACTTTACCATCCAAACAGACCGTGAAATCCATCACAGGAGGCCAGACATTGTAATTCAGAAAAAGAAGGCAAAGGAAACAATCATTGTGGACATAGCTGTTCCCGGAGATAGTAATATTCTGCAGAAAGAAACTGAAAAGTGTGAAAAGTACCAAGACCCGGCAAGAGAGATTCAAAGGATCTGGAAATCAAGGACAAAAGTGGTGCCAGTGGTTGTAGGTGCATTGGGTTCAGTGTCAAAGAAGCTGGCAGGCCACTTCGAGCAACTAGTGATTAAAAACCGAACAAGAACGATGCAAAAGTCGCCACTCCTCGGATCGGCGCACATCCTCAGAAAAGTGCTGGAAGTCTGAGGTCTCGGGATGAGACTTGACTGGATATTTCTCCCCAGGGAAAATCCCTGTGCTAAATTTTACGTAATAATAACTTCATTAATCTCCACAAAAAGGCTTTACAGCTTAATTTACAATGTCCAATATCTAAAACTTAGTTTTCCAAAAATACCCTTAAATTTTACTTTAAATACATCGAAATTAGTGATAAACTGAGACTCGTCTGGGAGACTAATCCACAGCTTTTGGCCTCTGAAGGTAAACGCGCACTGACCTGCAGCCGTCCTACAGAGTGGTATATGTAGGCGGTCTCTATTCCTAGTGTTGCAGTTGTGCAATTCCGATCTGGTTTTAAACTTTCGACAAAGATATGGAGGTGCAAGTCCATTTAAGCATTTAAATACCATGGTAGCATCCCTAACTGCATTGGCAGTAACATGATCAAATTTCCTCCTTCCAGAAACTATCTGGGCTGCAAAACTTTGCACTGTTTGTAATAGCTTGATGTTTTTCTCAGTGGTATTAACACATACTGATGAACAATACAATAATTTACTAAATACGCGGGAATTAATTATAGTGATCAACGTACGCCTATCATACTAGCCCCGAACTTTACATTTAATGAACAGGTAAGTACATTGACTTCGTCCCTTATCTCTACTCTGTGTCATAAAAGCACATAGTTGGCATCTATTTTCCAAATCCGTACTCCTCACCATTTTGACTTGCTTGGTTTTTAGTAAGCTTTTTTACTGTTCTACTGTATGATCTGGCACTTTCAAGCAGAACATTCATAAACTGCAACTTGTACAAAAATTTTCCTGCTCGTGTGTTAACTAATACTAGGAAGTTCGACCATATCTCACCAGTCCTGTGGGAACTGGGTTGGTCCTCTGTTAAACATCTGCTGTTAGTACTTGATGTCACACAGTTGTCCAAAATAGTGAATGGACTTGCGCCCTCCTACCAAGGTTGCTACTTTAGAAAAAGAACAGGAATCCATATAATACCAGATTAAGGGAAAAACTTGACGTTCCTATGTGCAGGACAGCCATTGCACAATGTTCCGTTCACTATCCATCTATTAACACTTGGAACTCGTTAAAATCAAGCGCAAGAAATAGTAAAACACTCACTAGCTTTAAGCGTGGTGCAAAATTGGAGCTATGTCGCACCGAGAACTACATGACTGCTTGCAGAAGTAAGACAGTTTTTGTGTCATTAGAGTAGTTTAAGTCAATAATAGGTGGATGTATATGTATATACGATATATCATCGTACCTACTTTTTTCTATTTCATACTAATAATTACATTTGTAAATTAGTCTTTCTTTTCTTCGTTCCTTTTCCAAATTTGTAAATTAAATCGAGATTTAATAAAGATACTGTACTGTACTGTACAACACAACTTCCTTTCTTGACACATTGGTCATAGATTCATAAGGACGCCTTTTACAAAAAACCTACGAACACTGATCAGTACCTGTGTTATGAATAAGGTTTGCACTTGAAACCTACAGATCAGTCACTTATCTGCTAGCAGATTGCTGAGTAGGTCGTACTGATTTCCAAAATTATCTGAGGCATCTTGACCAATAAGAACACATGGTGACCAGAATTTTAAATAAAAATAATAATTATTATGATCACCCTCCTGTTCTCATACCAAAATAGTAACATTAGTGACTGTACAGTGTATCCTGCATAAATTCATCTGGTTGTACATATTGAAGAGAGTCTCTTTCTGTTTTTCCTTTTCAGTCAATGAGAAGAGAGCTTTTCTTGTGTACTGTCTACCATTGTTCTTTGGAAGACTGAGTGGCAACACCTTGCTTTCCTTGTGGGAGGAACTTACCGCCTCCTCAAAGACAGCATTTGAGAAGCAGATGTGCAGGAGGCTGGTGCCCTCCTCAAGCTGTTCTGTGCACAGGCTCCATGGCTTTATGGTTGGAATAAACATGTTTCTAATTTGTGTCAATTTACTTTCAGTTTCCATGATACAGTCTGATTAGTTTTCCAGTCAACCTTCTATTGATAATAGAAATGTGGGGTAATGTTGATAACCTTTCATTTATTTCCAGGTGAAAGATTCCAGACATTCAATGTACACCAAGTCCTTCATTTAAAGGAAGCAGTAGTGAACTTGGGACAATTGTGGTCAAATCCTTGTTTTCCATACGAAGATTTTAACCGTGACTTGCGGGGATATTTCCAGGGAAGTCAACCTATTCAAGAAAAAGTCAGCAAACTTTGTTTTCTTTCCAGTTGAAATTTTCAAGTTACATGTGCATGTCTTTTATAATTTGATTTTTAAGTTTAATTTTGAACTATAAACAGTTACCTTCAAAACAGGCGTTAAACTATGCTGCCAGTTGAAAATTAACTGTATTTTAAGTTACCACAATCCAAATTTAAAAACCTTTATGTTACAGAAGACCACCTACCTTTCAATTTATTAGAAATGTGTCTCCTTTTGGCCCTTGATTTTAGACTGTGAAGTCAATACGCGTGCATCAAAGTCTTCCACGGCTGGCTGAATCTCTTACTGAGGGCTCAGTTGCCAAGCAGTTCTACAAGAACCTTGTGTCAAGAAACTGAAGTTTGGTTACCCATTTGTCAAAGTAATTTTATACCAAATAAAATAACTGTAGCTTTTTAAAATGTTCCACACAAATTACTTTAATCTCACAGGTACTTTCAAGATTATTACAGATTGCTTGTGTCCTCCGAGAGAGGCCTTTAAATTGAGAAACTTGGACAAAAATTACGTCAATGTTTTAAAGTCGGAGCTCCTCCAGCGTCCCGTCTTTCGCGAAGCCACTGATTGGAATGGTTAAAGACCTCAAAGATAAGTCCTATTTCGTGGAAGATCAATTAGAGAGTTACGAAATAGAAATTATAGGCTGTAACCACAGGAGGCAAGCTCTCAGTGAACTACAACAAGAGGGTCACGTTCCGGAATCACTGAAGTTTGTTATGTCCAGCTTTATGCAGGTGAACAGTTCTGGTAGTGCAATGGGAAATCGAATTACTAACTGGCTACGTTCCGGTTATAGATATATTATTATATGATTACATTATCACTTTGTGACAATGTAACAACACTGCTTGAAAAAAGGCTAATGTATATCCGCACGGGGCCACTTGCGCAACTGTATTGAAGTGTTAAATTCAAAAATACTTGGAATGTATTATGAATCATCTTCAAAACTAGAGGTAAAAGACGGTAAACCTATAAAAGCTTTAATGAAAATTTTACCTCACGGACCTTACTTCAGCTTTCAAAGCCAGCTTCATGCAACCCTTCTCCGAAAATATCTGCAAACACTGCAAGTTATTTCAAAAACAAGCATGCTCAATAATTCTTATCGAGGCTTTTCTTTATTCGATACAATCACTCTTTGCTTGGCCTTCTGTTCCCCCTCTGTTTTTCTGTTAATTTGTCATTTTGTTAATTTTACTTCCTTATGATTTTAGTTACTTTTGGATGTTATTCTCTAGAAATGCCTACTGTTGATGCATTGCCATTAGCGCAGTTACATAATCATATAGACAAGATGAACCATGAGGTCACTACCAGAGAAAAGGTTTGTGGTTATCCTTGGTTAAGTCCTAGAGAACATCTGTAAAAAAAAAACAAAACCTTTTTCAAACATTCCTGCACTAAGAACGCTGTCGTTCTTTAATTGCTTCCTTTTACAATAAATTATAATTCAAGCAACATTGTTTATTTTTATTTTCTTGTCTTTCTTGGATTGAAGGTTCAGCTGTGTCCTACCCTACTGAACGAACTGTTTCATGGCCAAAAATAACAAGAATGGAGACAAAACTGCCAATCTGTCCTTGGAGAATCTGTAAGTCATGCACATTGCCCAAGTACTTTTCCGTGTTTTAATGAGACTGAGTTGAAGTTAGCTTACAAAAACTGCCGTTTCTCTTCGCTTATCACCTTGAAACGCTCCTAGTTTTGAAACATCCTAAGTGGCAAGTAGCAGGGAGAAACGGCTGTCGAAGTCCACTTGGAACGTAAAACAAAATAAAAAGAATGAAGCTGCAGCAGCAGCCATTTTATTGACCAGCCTGGTCAATAAAATAGTTATTCATTTTCCTTTTTAAGAAAGACGAAAACAAAATTAATCTGCACCTGTGGGATCGGCAAAATATAAAATCGCGATTGGGCAAGAAAGGCCTACAAGCTTCATCTTACCCGATGGCTGAATCAGCCATATATATGATAATGAAGACCAACAGACACGAAAGGCCCATTTCCTATTGGTTTATTTAAGTATTTCAGCAATATATCAAGGATTTATGTGTTAGCAAAAGTATGAGAATCTAGGCTAAAATTTCTAATCTTGACAAAACTTTGGTTATCTTGCATTTGCAGCGTCTTGAAATAGTGTTTTTTTTCTAAATTCATTCAGTGACAAAACTTCACGTGCTGTTGGACAGCATTCTTGAAAAATATGACAATCTAGAAATCCTCGGACACAAAGTGACTACCAGAATCATGAAGAGGATGTCATCATCGGATTCAAACTTACAAACAACAATAGACTGCCTGGTCTCAAAATTTAAATGTCTAAGGGGGAATTTGAATGAAGACGAACTGGAGATGCTCCTGAATAAAGTAGACAGGCGAGAGTTAAGCCTTATGGGCTTGGAACAAGAATGTGGAAAAATAAAAGAAATAAAAGACCTTCAACGACATTTACTTGAGCAATCTGCTTGTAAATCATGGGATGAGGCAAAACGAAGAAAACCCGCAAACAGGCGAGGGAGAAGACGTCTACGCACAAAACATGTTCACCCGCGTGACAATCCTGGGAGACTGGTAGCAGTCTAATGCAAAAAGAAAACAACTTCGATTTCTGATTACAAATAACAATCGTATCATCCGCAGCTGACTAAAAACCATATTTGTTGTGTCAATTCCAGGTTCTGCCGCACTTGCAAGCTTTAAGAAAGGGAAGCACCCCTTAGTGTTTGATAAGAATGTGGAGAAGTTGCATGCAATTCGTGGAAATTTAGAGGAGGACTTTGCTTTTAATGAAAAGCCAGAGAGCAGTGATTAATTTTTTTGAATGGTTGTCCGGCAGAACGTTACTGAAAACACGCTTACATCCAATGCTTGCTTTTGCTTTTAATTAATTTTTCTTTAATCAGGAATTCTTTGTACTGTTCATTGAGGATAATTATATATTAATTCATATCGGACTTAATTTTGAGTGCTATATCTATTTCAGACTTATAAATTACTCAGTTATCTAACACACGGAAATTAATTTGTACATGTACTATTTTAATTTGGGGGATGCACTAGAGTCTGTTAGACAAATTTTGTGATCCTTATTTAAACGGTAATCTGGAACAATCAGTATATAAGAACTGTTTCGGAAATTTCTGAAGCAACACTTTGTGACCATTTTTAGGATAAATCTGGAACATCCCTTCTTGTAAAGATTGTTTCGGAAATTTCTGAAGCAGTATCTTTTGACCGTCTTTGAGAGACATCTGGAACAACCCGAAGTTTACAAAAAAGTGTTTGGGAAATTTCTGAAGCAACATTTTGTTACCGTTTTTAGAAGAAATCTGCAACAATTGTTATAGAAACTGTTTGGGAAATTTCTGAAATAACGTTTTCTTACCGTTTTTAGAAGAAATCTGCAACAATCGTTATAGAACAGTTTGGGACATTTCTGAAGTAACATTTTCTCACCCTCTACAAAAAACGTTCTGTATGAAACCATTAATAAACACATTTGTGACCTGTATCTCTTCATTTTTTTCAGACTTAAGTGTTTCGGAAATTTCTGAAACACCATTTTGATGCCATCACTTTCACATTTCTGAAGAAGCGATTACAAAAGACATGGGGTTCTTGAGATTTCTTTAACTTAACATTTTGTTAAGCAGCGTAAAGTAACCAATTTTCAGTCAAGTTAAAAAAAGGGTCAACACAAGTTATTTCAGCCAAAGGTGGACTTAACCTTCAGAAGTGATGCTTAATGATTACAATTCAGATGAAATTTTCAAATTCGGCAAGAATTTAAAACAAGCCTCAATTTTCAGCTGAATTTTTTTCGTTTTAGAATATCTTAGTCCACTTTAGAAAGCGTTAATTTTACCCCACGTTCCCCTGCCCGCTAAAACAAAATGGTTGGAAATCAAGGGAAACACTTCCAAACACCATGTAAACTTACAAGGCTGAAACCAAGAAGCTAACTGAAGTACTGAGCAGGAAAATGGAGCAGGAGATCTTTCAGTCCATGGAGGTTGTGGTAGAAAGAACGTGGAGCAAACCGCTGGAATTGGAGGAAAATAAAACCATGAAATTGACGTGGGCAGCTGTCGGTGGTGAAGAGGAAATTAAAGCCGCCTGCAAAGGTTTATTTAATAGATTGCTGTTACCTTGTCGCGAAGAGAAAGCTTTTCCATGAGGAGAAAGGTCCTGATCCCTTGCCGCAACTCTTGAAAAGTCAGTTGTTTCTTCAGGTAATGTTAGAAACAATGGCGACCATGAAATCACTCATTCAAAAAGAGAGTTGTGTTTGAACATCACAGACAACAGCAGTTCACGGCAACAGCATTCAGTCCACAACTTACCACTAGTATAGTTCAAATGGTAAAGGATGTGTTTTTGGGCTTTGTTTATGCCGAAAAGTTAGATCAGGAAAACAAAGAACAAGATCTGTCAACCAGACGTGAGCACAGAGAGCATAGACATTCTGCAGGACAGGAAGATCTTTCTTTTATTTACAGGATGGGTTCTTCAGCTGTTTAGCAAACGTTGCACGGAAGAAAATTAAATTCAAACCCAGGAAAAAGAAACTGAATCGCTTAATGTCACTTATTAAGACAGTTAAGTCTCTGGAAGAAAAGTAGAATTCCTAATGAAATGAAAGGAGAACTTGTAACGTCCCTCAAAGATTTTGTTAAGGAGTTCAGCCAATGGTAAGTTAAAAGAATTCCGGAAAGAAATTATGTAGAGCTGCAGAAGGGCAATTGCTTTATAATATAGAGATCAAGAAAAAGTTCTTTCCATGCATTTCAAAGGAAGGGGTCAAGAAGACAAAACCTGTGCTTGGCAAGTTCAAGAACAAGACTGTTGGAAAGATGTTCAATATCAAATGCAAAGCATTCTTGAAATACCTAGAATTTCTAGGAGAGGAGAGAGAGGAGAAACAGGAAAAGCCTGTGCGGCACAACACAATGCCCTATTTCAGACAATCCAGAGGGGAGGGGGTTCATAGGGTATATCTCTTGAACTGTGGGGAGTGGAGGTCTGGATATTTTCTGGAACCATACATAAAATCAGCACACAGAGAAGAAATGGATGAAAGGTTTTTTTCCCATGAAACCCTGACAGCGTCGATAATACCTGTTAGCTTTGCCATCCATTGACTCCATATATATATAGTAAATACAACTTCAAAAGCACGAAGGTCTACCAGCTATGGTAATTACTTTTTAGTACAGTCCAGAGGTGTGATTACTAACGTCTCATACTCTTGTCCCAAAAAGTCTTCTAGGATGAGCAGCATTGCCATCAGTAATAAATGGGTCACACTGAAATGAACAACTGGTTTCTAGTTTATTATTTCTGGTTTATGATTTCAACTTTTTTACTTTTTGTCAGGTCAAAAAGGGCAACATTTGACTGCAACTGTATTGACTGTCGGACCCGGTGATACTGGCCTACAGTCAAGGCTTACAGATGCCCATATGGAAAACAAGCAGCCATTTTGAAAGCAACTGATACGGCCACATTGCTAGGGCTATGTGGGTGAACCTCATGTGAAAAGCGTGTGAAAATAAGGAACCATGTGAAATCAATGTTGGCAAAAATACAACCTCACCACATCAGCATTTCACATGCATGTGAACGTTTTGAATTGCACGTGAAATTTTGTAATACATGTCAAACATTTTCGTCACATGTGTGAACTTGTCCATACATTTTATTACGTGTCCCATGTGATGCAATTTTGTCATGCATGTGAACTTCAAATTTCACATGCATAATAGACCCTATGCATGTGAAAAATTTCACATGCACATATGTGAACACTTTTAAGCATGTAAGAGTGAGCAGGTGAAATTTTTCAGGGCTTGTTAAATGCAACCACTATGAACCGCATTTTTATGAAAATGCCCAGTTTGGTCATAATTTGACCAGTTGATAGTTTTGAGGCAGATTTGAAGTAGCAGATCCTCGCTGCTCGTCTTTGTAGTTGTTCCATCTTGTCACTGTTTCCTTGTCAACATTCATGCCACACAGCATCACAATAATCTAGAACCAGGAGGACAATAGCTTTATAGAGTCTACTTCTGGTGTAAGTGAAAGTCTTATCCAAGACAACATTCGAATATCTTAGATACCTTCATCCTCACATAGTCCACATGGTGATTGAAGGAAAGGGTGTCATCAAGAACAACACCCAGGTTCTTAAATGTGTCCATATGCTTAATAGAATGTCCATTTAGGCTTATATCACTTTCATCACACTTTTGTCTCACAAGTCATCAGTGGGTGCTGAACGTCATGAATTCTGTCTGCTTCATGTCAAGAACAAGTTTATTGTAGTGAAACCACTGCAATAAATTAGCTAGCAGAACCTTTTTGGTAGCCAGTTTCTCAGGACCCACAACCCACACCGTACAATTCAGGAGTAAAGAGAGCAAGCAAGCACAAGACCGCAGATACCCATGGCCCTGCCCGAGTTGTCTTGTCACAACTCTATACTCATATTTGATAGCTTATGTAGACAAAGTACGCAGTTAAGTGGCAAGATCAGATGGTGAACATAACACTGACAAGGGTAAAGGGTGTTCCTGTCTTGGACTGGATCAAAAATTAGAATCTGGTCAGATATCTACCATCATAAATGCAGCATGGAAAAAGGGAGGAATGGAGGGGCACGTTTTGTCAACAATATTCCGTAAATCTGCTGTCAAATATGAGTATAGAGTTGTGACAAGTGTTCATCAAAACCATAAAAAAATGAAACGTCGGCTTGCCGATCTCATGGAACACAAAGACAGTACTGCGACAAGGTTTTACCATCTTCATGAGAAACAAGGGACATGCCTAGAAGCAGGAAGTAACCTGTCCAAAATCAAGACAGCACATGAGAAAACACCTGCATCTGTCATCAAAAGAAGTAACCTAAAAGAAAAAAAATCTGCATTTGTCTTGGAAGGAAGAACAGGTGGTAGCCCTAAAGGAACTTATGGCTAACAAAATTGACAAAAAAAAATGTGTTACTATGGAAGTCTTCAGAAATAAAATGAAAGATAATCCTGTCCTCAAGGAAGCAGATTCGAAAAATGCGTCTGACAGAGTGAGAAGTGAATGGCGTTTAGAACCCAAATCTAACTGCAAGCATGAAGAAGAGGAAGATGGCACACCCCCTACAGAACCACCCATACAAACAGACACTCTTTCAGAGAAAAAGAATTTTATTTTTTCATCTGCCACGAGTTCATGTAGCTCTGATGTTATAGCTCCATCTAATCCCAGCTTCGTCATTAGAAACATTTTTGATGAAGACAAATTTTGAAGACAAATTTTCTTCTAAGGGCATGTCGGAGTATGGTGAATAGAAGTGTCATTTTGCAAACCGCTGTTAAGATTGCCGTTGAAAACGAAATACATGGGATGGAACTTCTGTGCAAGTTCACTATCCCTGATATTATCAATCGAGTGAAATATGAAAGGAGAAAGAACAATCGTTGACAAAAAGAGGCCTAAGGAACTAGGCTAAGTAAATTGTAAATATCTTATTATCCACTCCCCTCAGGGCTTTTCAGGGATAATTTACAACACTGGTTGGGGGACTTTGCCAGATTGCTTAAGGTGCAGTTTACAAGTAATGAAGGAATGAGTAATGATGCCCCCATACATGAGTGTGAAAGTGAGATAGACCACTACACCGGGCACTACGTGCCCTACTCTTTACGAAGAGTGTGTGGGTTCTTTAACGTCCCACAGATTTAATACATATGCAAGGGCTTGTGAGACGGGGCCTACGGTTTATCGTCCTTATCCGAGAAGACTAGAAAGTCTAGCCGTTTGCAGATATTATTACAAAGGCAGCACTTTCTCCACAGTTATTTAAAGACCCTGAGTGTTGGTCCGGCCGGGGTTTGAACCCGCGACCTCCCGCTCAGTAGACCGGCGCTCTCCCAACTGAGCTAACCAGGTGGCGGTAAATGCATTTGAAATGCGGTAAATGCGGTAAATGCATTTGACATATGAAGCATCAGACGTTGAGTGCATATATGGACTTTTAACTTTAAAAAACATGATATATTGTGCTATTTTCAAGGGCTCAAATTTTAAGATTTTATAGCCAGTTAAGAACATTTTAACACGTTTTAGCATAGTTGTGAACCGAATAGGTATGACTTGCGGGTTCCTATTGGCCAGTAGCTAATTCCACTATTTTGCTGTAGCTTTTTAATCGTCCTATTGAACATGAAGGCTATAAGAATTTGCTGCCAATATTTAAAGAAATAGCTGTTATTTAAATATTCTACAGTATTGGATGTCAGCCAATGGCAGTATAATACCTAGTTAGAGTTAGTAATCATTAACTGGGCACATCCTGTGTTTGCATAAGTACACGGGCTTTGTTATCATTCCGCAGCAAACTTAGTCAAGTAGCATTTACATTTTGTTTTTCGTTACATTCTCATTATGCCTCCTAAACGAGCGAGCAAGAAATCTCCAAAGCCATCTAGCCCTGACAGCAGTTTGCTCTCCAACTTTTGTCGATCCAACGAAATCCCAGAAGATGTAATGGATATATTGGCTCAGAACCATATAACTTCCAAGTCGTTTTTAGCCGCCATTTGGGAACAAGATTTGGCTGACATGGGTTTTGTGGTAGGCCAAAAGATCCTCCTTTATACTGTAATTTCCCGCCTCTAGCAAGACACCGATGATCCCCTGCCCTCCAAACCTGTTCCTTCAGAGGCCTCTGGTCTTCTCCCCGCCTTTGACTCACAAGAGCTTTCGAACATCGAAGCGGCGTTTTCAATCTCCTCGCCATCCAAAGACAATGACATGGCCACAACCCCTGCTGCTTCTCCTTCCATTACTACAGACTCGAGCTCTTCTCTGGGATGCAAGCAATTGTCGCCTTCAGATTTCATCTATGGCGGTGAAGATAAACAGCTGAAACCCTTGCAGCTTTCTTATACACAATTTATGCTTGCAAATATTAAAATTTTTTAGTCCAATCTCTATTCGCCAAGACCCCGTGCGAGGCAGAGGAATACCTCGCTTATTTAAAGTTGTCAGACTGAAGTCAAAAGCTTTGGCAAGATGTGTACTCAGACTGACGTTTTACGTTGTAAATTTTATGATGCAAGCTCACAGACAAAGGACTTTGATTATTTATTTGCGGAAGAAAGTCATTGAATTTGACGAAGAGTATTTCAGGAATAGCGACAATAAAGTACTGTTTTACACTGGTCTCCCATCATATGAAATTCTGAACTTTGTGTTTGAACTTGTGTCACCGTCTGTTTCTTGTCGCTCTCAATCACTGAGTCCTTTTCAAGAATTTGTTATGGTCCTGATTAAGTTGAGATTAGATGCACCTCTTCAAGACCTAGCTTATCGCTTCAACATCACAGTTCCTACAGTATCCAGGACATTTCATTCTTGGTGGATGACTATGGACATAAGGTTATCTCCATTTTTCCACTGGCCTGATCGTGAAAGTCTTATAAGAACAATGCCACAATGCTTCAAGTTAAGCTTTGGAACAAAAACTACTGCAATAATTGACTGCTTCGAAATTTCCATTGAAAAACCCACTAATTTACTTGCTAGAGCACAAACATTCAGTTCCTACAAGCACCACAACACTATCAAGGTGCTGATTGGCATCACCCCACAAGGTACCATTTCCTATGTTTCTGAGGCATCGGGTGGTCGAACTTCAGACAAGTTTTTGACTGAAAACTGTGGGATATTGAGTAAGGTGGTTCTGGGGGACATGGTGATGGCCGATCGTGGCTTCACTATTCATCAGAGTGTTGCCTTCAAGGGAGCAAAGCTAGTAATTCCAGCTTTTACGAAAGGCAAGGATCAACTTGACCCAGTTGACGTTGAAACAACAAGGGGTATTGCCAGTGTCCGCATCCATGTGGAAAGAGTCACAGGTCTTTTACGAAGCAAATACACAATACTACAGGGGACACTTTCTACTGACTTTCTCATAAGCAATCCTCACGGATCTTTTGAAGAAGGAACCCCTGTAATTGATCGAGTAATTAAGGTTTGTTCTGCTCTTGTTAATTTGTGTCCCCTAATAATACCATTTGACTAGGCTGTTACAATTTATTATTCATAGATAGAAAACCAGTGAAACTCTAGAAATGCATTCCATTTTGGGGTTTGAGATGGACCATGAGTTTTGGTAGCTGTACACAGAGGGCCACACTGTAAATAAGGAGTGGACTTGAGAGGGACCACTAGTTTTATAAATCAAAATTCAAGATAGCAAGTATGGGTTCACTCTGTAACGGTTTTTAGAGTGAGTATAGTTAACCCATGAGAATCTAGTTGACCACTAGATACTTGTAGACCTTATTTGAATGACTGAAACTTTGAATAAGTGCTAGCCTTGTTTAAGAGAAGCTACTTCACAAAGGTGCGTCAATGAACACATGACAAGCTCCTTCTCATTTTGTAGAACCAAGTTTTATTTAATGGAATAATATAATATAATAATAAAATATATCAGTAGACATACACATATTGGTTACTTACGTCATTTTATCTTTGTCGTCCTTACCAACTATCTTGCTAGTTGTTGTCTGCTTTTTTAGTTCAATGCCATAAATTAGTTTCACTTTAGAAATATCAAGAATAGTTCCACTACAAAATTTCTACCATTGTTTGTTTGATTGGATAAAATAAAATAGTATTTTGTTTTGATTAAAAGAAATTGTAACAGGTTATTCAAACCATGTCTGTGCTGTTTACACCTGTTTTGGATAACTTAACTAAACAAGACAGTTTATGCATAAATCTAAAGTGATGACTTGATCACTGACTTCACCTTAATAACAGGTTTCTCTTCGCATTAATAGTCTTTTGTTTTGACTACAACTAGAACAGCTTATATCAAGCATACATATCAATATTGTATGTATCTCTTGTACATTTTGATTATCATACACTTGTATATACAGTAAAATGCATGGCTAATTCGAGTGTCAGTAACATTTAATAATTACTTTAAATCTGAGGAAATGGGCTGAGCACTCCAGTTTTTAAGGCATCAAGACAAATGAGGTCGCATCTGTGGTACATCAACTGTGACAATACTCGGGTCTCTGCCATACACTATACAGGTTGCAAATGCAATAGAGAACACACCACAATCACTGCCATTTCCTTGTTTCTTGACAGGTACAATGTTCATTCCCGTAAAATTGTTTCCCATGAGATCTTTCAGTTGTTCTTCCACTTCATTAGCAACGATGTCATGGAATAAGCTGTCATACAAGTTTACTATACCCGGTAAACAACAAACAGAGCTAGCGCAGACCCAGTGTTGGTTACCTGTGTGCAGAATTTGCACAAAATCACTTGTTACTACACCAAAGTTTCTTACTGGTCCCAGCATAGTCCTTTGAAATCCCTTGATCAGGGGATTTACTTGCTTCAGTAAAATGTGAGCTTCTTGTATGACACTGCAGTCCAACCATCCAGTTGGAGATTCAATGATATCATATTCAGCCTGAGTTAAATTCCCTAGAGAGGCTGTCTTATCAATGTTTCCATGACTAACTTTAGTTATTTGTATATCATCATCACTGTCACATTGATCAACCGAAAGGTCATCATACTATCAATATCACCACAAAGATCTTGTAGAATTGAAGAGGTACAAGTGGTAGATTGAATTGAAGAAGTTAAACTAGAACTGTCGTTTTCACCTGACTGAACTGTGGCAATGTTCACATCATTTGCTTTATGGGGCTTTCCCTTGCAGTTGTTACAAACCCATGTAGTCTTGCTGTTATTTGGCATCCTTTTATATTTCAGGCAGTCTAAATGAAAGAATTTTCCATTTAAACAGTCTTCACTGTGACACTCAAGAAGTCTATCACCTGGTCCCGGCTTTGAATTACAAATACAGATGCTATTCAGGCTGCGAGCTTTGCTACATACATCCTGCTGTACTGCATTTCTGGTTTTAGCATTTCTCTTGAATTCTGGTAATAGACGACAGGTACTTGATCGCAGACATGACAGGTGAAACCTCATATAGGGACACTTGGCATTAGAGCAAGTGATGGTTCCTTCTTCAGTAACTTTTCTGCAATACCAAATGGCATTATCATTGCATGATACTGGAACTTGCACCAGACTTGGCATGTGGCATTTTCTTGTATACCACCTACCTAAAATTTCTGGTAGGATGCAAATTCTCCAAAACGTAGTCAATTTTGGTTGTAGTGATTCCCACAGGGTGTAATCAGGATATATTCTTTCGTAAAAAATCACAGGTTGATTGTTTACACTGAATGCAAACACTACAAAGTCACAGTACATCAGCTTAGTTATGCTGAGCTGATGTTGGGTCTGATAATAGTACTGATGATTTCTCTTCAACCCACACAGGAGGTCTTCTTTGAGATGTAGGTCTGAAAATCCCCATTCTTAATACTATAAGGACATTTGACCTCCCCGCAACCATCACCACAACAGGAACAAGAGGCCATAAAGTCAGGAGTAGCATGCAACCAGGGATGTTCTTTATCTAATATTATTCCACAAAACTTTACTTGAAAGTCTTTATGGGTCTGACTCATAAGGGAAACATATGTCTCAACAGCAGTTTTCTCATATTTCTTGTCATGTGAGATAGCTTTAGAGGTAACTTTGAACAGGTGAGGGTAGCAGAGAGACTTGATCAAAGATTGTGATGGCTGCATTGGATTACTGTGCGCCACAGTCCAACTGACTGAGGCCCCAATGCGGCCAGCTCTGTGTCTAAAGAAAAAATTCCCCTTGGATTGCTTCCTTGCGTCTTCTTCAATGGCATCCAGTTCATTATCACTGAGGTCTAAGCTGACCTCAAACATTGCTTCAGAATATCTGGATAGCTGAGTTTAAGATGACTAGGGTCATACAAATCTGGCATTGTAAGTACGTGTTGGCTTCTTGACATAAAGCTTTCAGAATAAGGTTTAAAAAGACTTAGAATGACTGGTTTTACATTCAATTCATCTAACTTCTTCAGTTGGGCATTCATTTCATCCTCGTCAAGTGGTCTTACTGATATGTTTGATTTTTAAATAATTCTTGCTGGAACTGGTGGTTGGGACTGATTCTCACCCTCGCAAGCATCTATTTTGAGGTCCATCTCTTCTTTTCATTTTTTCGATGATTTAAAATTGATGTCTCGAGCTCTGGCGTAAGTAACTTCGTATACATACGAAGGTAAAAGCCACGTGCATTTGACTTGCATGCAGGCCAATTTTCCACTGATCCTTGTCCATGCTTCGAAGTAAAATAGCATGCTTGCAACGTGGGAACACATTTCTGCTAAGGCAGCCTTACAACCCATGCAATGGGCCGAAATTATTGTTCCTTCCTGGCTTGAAATCACCAAAACAGGGATTGGCGGGTCATTCATGCGCTGTGAATGTCGCACTTTTGCAAGAACCATGTACTTTCCGGCGATCCATCTGGTTATACGCCTCTAAACTTTTGAAGGTTTTGAATTGTTGTGCTGTATAATAACTCGCATCTAAAACCAAATACGACAGTAGATCTGTGGCTTCGATGGGTGGTAAACAGTCTGGATCGAGCTTCGTGTGCCACAACGTAGCTGGGTCAATACCAATCACTGATATTTTCTCAGTGAAGCGACATTTTACCCGGCTCTCTAGCTTTTTTGAGTACTCCGATAAAAGACGAACAAGTGTGGAATCTTCCTTGTCTTTTTTTTTTAAAGTTTTCTGTTTTAGATTCGCCGGCATTATCTTCAGACATGCTGTTGTAATCCTTCACCCCGTAATGCATCTGGTTCCGGTATGAGCTGAAACTTTCTTAATTTAACGTAGATTTTCAAAACATTCTACATTCTTCAATTACTCTAACAATAGAGGAATGACATAGCAATCATCTCCATAAGTTTCACTTGATTTTCTGTAACAGATCTATCAAATTCGTTGATTTTTCTTTCACGTGTTAAAAAACCCTACATCGCTTTGCATTTTGACATATGCTAATGAGTAAGCAGTACACCAATATGGCCGCCAAGTAAATATATGCTTGTGACGTAAGTTAAAAACCGAGAATTCTCGTTGGTTTGCGTTATGGTTTTAAACTTATTCCCAAGTCAGACACCTTTTGTCTCAACGACTCTGAATTAGAAAATTATTTAAGTGCTACATGTCCCGACTTCAAACCGGACATGGATCACTTATTCTTAAAGGAACTCAAATTACTCTGTATTTCCAAGATTGACTCTAAACCCCATTGTGTTCACTCTATTGGCCGTGTAGCTAAAAAGGATTCCCCCAAATTTCGCCCTATAACTGATTGCAGTCGCCTGTATGGTTCATCATTAAACAATCACATCAAGGATGATTTGGTTACATTTCACTTGAACTCAATTGACAAAGAGGTGTTGTTTTCTTCTCCAAACTGTTTTTACTCGATTGTTGATTTTGAATCAGCTTGGCGTTGGGTCCCAGTGTTCCCTCCCCATAAAGAATTACAGGGTTTTCACTGGATGTTCGGGACACAGGATTCTTCGCGCTACAACTATTACGTGGATAACGGACTACTAGCTGTTGTTTAAATATTGCAAATGTTTTGACAAACGTCCACTAAATAATTTATAAAAGGATGAATGTTAACGCACTCTCCACTCCTTGCGTTTGCTTCATGGGGTTGAAATTTTCGTGAAGTTTTACCAAGCGATGGTCTCAAATGGGGCCACCCAACATTAATGATGAATATGACTAAAAACCCACTAGAACTTCAAAGGAAAAAATCAGAAAAAAAAGACAAATGAGGACAGAATTTCAATGCATAGTCCACCACCCTCGTTATCGAGTATTAACCAAAACAACCGTTCTTTCAGAGAAGAGTTTTCAGAGAATCCAGGAAAGTTCTCGAATTAGACAATGTCAGGAAAACCCAGGAAACAGGGAAGATGAGATTTGCTCTAAATTGCCAAATGAGTTTCTTTCTCTGAGATCATCCTCTGTCATGGCGTCATGACAGTCAGTACGTGACTGCATAGCTACGTGAATATTTAGCACTCTGACCTATTTACCACCCTTTTTACCGCCATCGGATAGTCCAAAACGGAGGAAATTCAAAAGAAATACAATATTTGTAAATTTAAAAGCACAACTGGCAAGCAGAAGAAACTGCTGCTCGAAGAAATCAACACCAAGTTGTACAAGCCATCAGCACATTGTGTTGGTTTCTACACCACTGAAGAAAGAATCCTGTATTGGGCAAAGGCTCTTCAAGATCATCACTTTCACCGCTCAGTGAAAACAACCACTACCATGTGGCATGAATCAACCGCAACAACGATGATGAGTAAGCTTTTGAACATATCAAGCTTAAAGCGCCCATAACGATTTTTTTTTTATTTTCCCATCCAAATCTGCACATCAAGCAATGACGTTCCCCGTAGAAATTTTTTGATTCCGACGAAACGCGATTTTTTTATGATTTTTTTAAGTCTTCGAAGTTTGCTGCCATTTTGTTCCACCATTTGCATTAGTCTCCTCTCGGTCGAAAGGGAGCCGTGACGTAGTCGTGACGTAGGTTCAGGAACTCTTATTCCTCTCAAGCTCAAGTGTTTATATAGTTGTAGTTGTCTCGAACGTGGGAAATAATCCGTGGAAAATGCCTGAGAGATGTGTCGCAGCACGTTGCAGCAACGTAGCGGACCCTAAGAAACATATTTCAATGCATAAGATTCCGTTCTTTGGCGAGAATTGCCCGATAAAGCAAAAACGAAGAAAAAGGTGGATCGACTTCGTGTTGGAGAGAAGAAAGATGTGGGTTCCGGGGAAGACGTCCTCGTTGTGCTCAAAGCACTTTACTGTGGACGATTTTGAAAGGCCGTTGAACATGGAATTAAACTTGAAGCGTGAATTAAAGAAGGATAGCATTGGGTTCTGTGTCTACCCAACAATTCACGCCAAGCGCGAAGGAGAAGATGACGAGCCACCATCTAAAAGGAGTAGGGATAAGCGAATGGTAAGAAAAAATTCTCACACGTGTTCGTGACATTCCTTGCGATTTTTTTCTGAGATTTTGCTTTTAGCTCACGTATAATTAATGTTCAAGAAAGATCATTATAATTGTTTTTTTTTTTTACAGATCGCTCGATCTGCGAAGTCTCGCATCAAAACGCTGGAAGAACCTGAAGCGACGGCACATGTTACTTCCGGTCCTTCCACGAGCTATCAGGCGGTAAGCAACCTATTATTAAGATAATGAATGATTTTTACTTCAGGGTATACTTGGGTATGCTTGAGGAGCTGTGGCTGGTTACAAACTCTTATGTTTTGTAATATTTAATTTTTGCAGGCAGAAATCGTACAATCTGACTCCGTTTTCTCAAGTCAAAGCTCGCAAGACATGCAAAAGGAGGGCTCGACTGGATCACACATGGTAAGTAACAAACAGCAGCTTGACTAGTTGGCATACACTGTCCCGGTGAAATTTTCATTTTGTTTATAACATTCCTTAAATTTTCACAGGCACCTGAAGACACTGTGTCAAACATTAATCAGGAAGAGGACCAAGAGAATATCTCAGAATTCGTAAGTAAATGTAACTGTTTCTTTTTTTTCTTTTTAAATAGCTGCAATCTGACATGAAGTGCCCTGGGTGGCACTTATATGTAATCGTTTTTTTTCCAATTTTTCCCAGGCACAAGATGACCAAGGAAAAGAGACTAGTGCACAGGTAGTGACAACATGCACATGTATCTGTTACAGGTCAAAATTTTATTGTTTCACTTTAACCTAGGTTGATTCTCAATTTATGTCCTTTGTCTCCTGGCTCTTTGACCTGTAACATAATGTACCTGTAGTATGTATGAACTGTTCTTCATGTGATCTTATGGGGATCAGCAATTTACTCAGCTGTAAAGCAGTTTTATGGATCTTTTCAGGAACAAGAAGACGTTGGACTCTGTACTGTCCACCTTCAGAACCAAGTATGCACCAATAGTGCATATACAGTAAGTACCTTTGTTTAAGTTAAAACTCTGTCCTCTGACATTAAATGATGAAAATTAAAAAGAAAGGTGATTGCAGAGATGCATAGAAGACATTGTTATTACTCCCATCCATTTTGGCACAGAGCTCGGAGGTGACACAAATAGCATGTGTTTGCCTGTCACGATTATCCAATGACAAAGAAGCATTCAAAAAGAATTTGTTTCAATCTTTTCTCACAGGACCAAGCAACGCAAACCCTTTCAGACCAGAGATGTAATCTGCTGATAAGGGAGAATGAGAAACTGATGACACAGTTAACATCTGTGAGAGAGGCACTAGCAAGATGTCAAGGGAAAAATAAGAATCTCAAACGTAATGGTGAGGCAAAAATAAATGAATCAGCATGTGACCTGTCCAGAATTTCATTAATTTTTAATAATTCATATTATTTCACCAAATTATAAATTATTATTAGACATGGTTATTTGTGTTGAAATCCTTGACTTTATGGTTATGGTACTCCAAGAACCTGACATGAAAAAGAAAACTGAAAGCACGATGTGTTTTTTCAACTCTGTACGGTTGATAAAATATTACATACTGGTATAATGAATATTATCATCAAGCTTTGTTTTGTTTGTTGCTTATGTTTCAGTTAACAGTTTGACCCATAAAGTCAAAGAGCTTGAAGGTGAAATACTGGTTGTAGATAGCAGCGGTATTTTAAATGATTCAGTTGACAATGAGGAGGCCGTGATTGACCAGGGATGTGACGACGAAGATGAAGATGACCAGACAATCGAGGAAGAGCCAGACTTCTCCCTGGATGGTGAACATGATCTGTCCAGTGAGAGTGACGAGACAGATACCTTAAGTATTGAAGATGAATCCACTAAAACCAAAGCAAAAAGGTTATTCTGTACTAGTAAACATATGAATTCCAAATTACATGATCTTAAAATACTATTACCATTACCAGCCTGTAAGAATGCTCTCCATTTGGAAAAAGCAGTGGGGCAAGACACAGATAATGACTGATGGAGAGATCACTTACATGTACAGGCTAAATGCAACCTGATTTGTTTCATGCATCACACCATTAATGATACAGCAGGGTGTCATTATTTGCAGTTTTCTATATAACTATATATGACTTTAT